TTGACAGTTTCCACGACCTTGTTAATCATATCGTCCACTACATTGCAATCTTCTAGGCACTGAAAACGGTTTTGTAGCTCGAGCTGAAAGGTTTCGGGACTTTGGATTAGAGCACGAGGATGACGGAGAGTTAACTTTATTAGACGAGACCTCTCCAACTTAACGTTTAGGTTCAGTGTGCCTCTAACCATTCGGTTATCGCTACCAGTTTTCACCCTCGCGATTACTGATACATCTAAATAGTTGTTGTCTGGTTGTCATAATGAAGTCAATGTCATTTTTTGTCGAACCGTCTGGGCTCGATCAGGATAACTACCTCTGGAGCCACTTCTGGAAGAAAGAGTTCATCATAAAAAGTACCTATTTCTCCCTGAAGTCAGCCAGCGGCTGGCCCCTTGGGTTCCCTTGCCCTATTTAAAATTTCCCTACTTTCAGCTCACCGTTCTTCCTTGTGCCTATTTTTGCGTAGAAGTCTCCCATGAACACCGTACCTGGTTTTGGAGGAATGCATGACTCTAGATATGTACTCATACATTTTTTCGATCTCCTCATCGGGATGTGCCGAGGTTGGTGCAAAAACCTCTATGACCTTCAGCGAATACCGTTTCGTGATTCTGAGTATAAAGTACGCAACACTCGTCGAAATACTCTCAATTTATACAACGTTCTGAACGAGAGACTTGTGGACGATAAATCCGACACCTCTATGGGACATACATATGTTCGCCCTCTCGGTGATAGAACAAGTTGCCGGATTCAAGAATTACCCTGTCCTCTGCCTTTCTTCGGACCTCGGATAATCCTATAATATTCGAACAAATATCTCCTCTATCTTCTCGTCAGTCTTCAGGGTGCGTGCGTTATATGTTGCCAGGTCGAGTAGTCTTAGTAGCAACCGAACCTCCACCGGTGATTATTATTAGACAATTATTTTCAAAATTCTCATAAAATCATTATTTCGTGAAATAGTGTCATTTCATGATATTTATCACTATTTAGTGGAATATGTCATGATATAGCTTAGCCAAAATAGTAAATAGAGATAACTAAACACAACTTTTCTATTTCTTGATAATATGATCATATCGTCAAATAGTTTTTCAATATTCACAATAATTATTTAAACAGTGTGACAAAAGCATTATTTTGAAAAAATATAGGAACGGAGTTAAATAAAAGCGGTAAATAGTAAATATATATATACTAGTAGTATCCAGTACTGTGTACATAAAACTGAGATTAAGAGAGAAGCTCTTTAGTTGAATATATTGGGTGTATGTTGATTTTTGTGACATTCACACTGGTTTCATAGCTCACACGAGATATGTAAATGAACAGGCTGTTGCGAAAAATACTTTAAATATCAAAGACAGCAGATTTTACTTAAACAAAGGTTTATTTTATTTTACTTGTCAATGACGGCAATTTAGCTGATCCAAACGTAAATTTCTCGTACATAAACATTATTATATATTTTAACATATTATGTATATGTTAATAGCAACGTCAAGTTTCGATTTACCACGTTCTCGGCGGTGAAAGAAATCTGCACATCTGAGAAGTTCCCCAGTTGAAGTCATCGCGCGTTAGCTCTATTTTGGCCAAAAGCTCTGTGGCCTGTGTCCAGTAGTGACATGTATATAGGTAGCTACTTGTTTTAGTTTTACTGGGGCAATTATGCTGTTTTTATTTCATTCATATTTTCGGAGATGTTACTTTTTTGTTTTCACACTACTCGAAAGAATAGAACTCATCATCGTTATCATTACAAGCTATCAAAAATCTACTGAACTGAACATAGGCCTCCCCCATAAATTGTCAAATAGACTGATATTAGTTAAAGTTGCCACGCTTGGCAGGCGGGTTAGTAACCGCAGCCTTTATTATTTTGAACTGTTGTCAGGAAGATTATGTTGCCCTGCTCCTGTTTATTTTCTTCTATCGCCTTTTAGGACACACGCGGAGCGATATGAGGCGGCGGATTCTCTTTCGCCGCTATAACAACGCGAACGTTTTTCTGCTTTAGATCTTGAGTGTAGTTCTACCCACGTTCATTGCGAATAGAACTTTTTTGCAATAAAAGTATTCTTAAGGATTTTATCGTGTTGAATTTTAACTTTTGTAATTCATGACGAAGTTTTGAGGTATACCTTACGAGGTATACCTCAAAACTTGAAAATGAAACTGTACAACCACTGCGCGTTGCCAGTGCGCGATGACCTATGGAACTGAGACGTGGTCCTTCACTGCTGGCCGTATGAGGAAGTTCAAGGTCACTCAGCGAGTTATTTAGAGGGCTATGCTCGGGGTTTCTCTGCGTGATAAACTTAGAAATGAGGATATCCGCAGTAGAACCATAGTGACCGACATAGCCCAACGAATTAGTAAGCTGAAGTGGCAATGCGCCGGCCCCATAGCAAGAACTGACAACCGATGGGGAATAAAGGTTCTCGAGTGGCGGCCTCGTACCGGCGGACGAAGTATAGGGCGTCCCCTCACTAGATGAAGTGACGATCTGGTAAGAGATGCAGGAAGTCGATGGATGCAGGTGGCTCAGAACCGTGCTTTGTGAAATTCCTTCGGGGAGGCCTGTGTTGAGTAGTGGACTTAGGAAAGGCTGTAATGATGATGAGGTATTCATTATGGTGCATAACTTTCCACTGACGAACGAAAATAGATTACTAATGAACAAAAGTTATGGCATTTAACATTTTGTGAGAAGTTATTTATTAAATAGGTACCTAACCGTTACAAGTTTTTATCTAATTGTCTGTAAGCAGATTAAATTAATTTTTAAGATACTTTCCGAGATCTGGCTAATAGAATGAGAACAAAGGGACCACACTTTATGGGATGTAATTTTTTGAATATGATTTTTCAAATTTCAGTGTACTTCTAGAATTGTTTTAATTATTGTTTTCTTTCTTAAACCTACTTAGCCGTAGCAGACAATAGTAAGGTACTTAGACATTAAACAACCTATATTAGATGCCCATCAGCACTCCTGAAAAAAATAAACGTGAGGAAACTTGCAACTTATGTAACAACGTTAAATTACGTTTTTCATTATTTCGCTAGGTAGTTGTTGCATCTGCTAAAAAACTATCTAGAAAAAAATCTTGAAAGGTTTCTCGATTTAGGATTTCTTAATTTTTTATAACAGATATGACTGTGACTGTTTGTCTAGTGATCGTAAGCGCGGCTACTGATTTGTACTTTTATTTTCTTTTGCATCTGGTCTTTGAAAATAATTAAAAATTAAAAATTTTGTACAGCCGACTTCAATATAAGTTATTAAGAATTACTCAAAAATTAATGGTCAGACCTTGATCACATCGTGTGGTCAAGAGAAGCTGCTACTTCTCTTGACCACACGAGAAGTAGCAGCTTTCAAATAAAAAAAGAATCATCGAAATCGGTTCACCCAGTAAAAAGTTATGAGGTAACACACAAAAAAAAACATACAGTCGAATTGAGTACCGTCTCCTTTTTGGAAGTCGGCAGAAAATTCAGGCTAGTGGATAAAAGATGCTAAGTGGATAATATTATAAATGATGCATCGTCAGTGTCTATATAATTACTCTAAACATTTCGAGTTACTATCAAACCTCCCATAACACTTAAGACTTTTAAGCCCACACTTGTAATTTTGCGTACCTAATAAAGACCTCTTCAATATCTTTAATTCCAATACCAATTTCATATTTAAACCTATTACAATTGAGATATTAAGATCTAAAGTGTCATTTTATTCACTCAATGATGAATTAGAAAACCCATGCCAGTTATAAATTACTTAGAAACTTGGAATTAAGCATCAAGGTAAATCATTAGAAAAAAATTAAGCAGGTAAGAAAGCAAATTATCGATATCAGGTGGCGATAGATGTAGACAAAGTTATCGGTGCGGTTAGTTAAGAGGACAGTATTTTCAAACTAACCGTATAAATAATTTTGTCGACAACCCCGAATGTAGTTAGTACTGAACGTGGTTCTCTTTCTCTAATTATGTTTTTGGTATGATTTAATGTACATTTACTCGTAGATGTCTCATTTTCAATTTCACGTATCTAAATTTTTTTGGTATTTTTGTCTCAAAAGGTTAGTATGCAAAGACGCTACTGCCCATCTCCTGGTTTGTTTCGTCTCTTATTAGTCTCCTGGTTTGTTACGATATCGATAGGACGATATGCGGTATGGGTTGTTACACGGCACGGTTTTTTCGGTTTTAGTCTTTAGCACAATAAAATACTCGACTGATTCTTAATACTTAGCATCAGCTAGAAAGAATGCTTCCTGGTGATGTGGGCTGACTATTATTTTTGAGTGCAAATACAATTTATTGTAGGTGGACCTCTTTATTTCGTGACATGCACACCTATTAAGTGTACATACTTCTAGCGCGTAATATCTCTGTCGCTACCGTTGTTGAAAGATACAGGAATGGAGCAAATCATTCTTTGATTATACTTACGTTATAATGATAAGTACCAGGGTAAAGCCCCAACACTGTTCCCTTGTAGAATCTTTTTATTTCTCAAATATAGGTTCTAAGATTAAATTGTATTGTTTTTTTTTTCATTACATCCCTTCACAAGTCCACTGTTGAACGTAGGCCTCTCGCATGGATTGCCACAAAGCACGGTCCTGACCTACCTGTATACTGCTGCTGACAACGTACACTGCACAAACTCTCTTCATGTTTCATCGGGTCATCCTTCCACTTATGCGAAATTGACCAAGAACGTACTTACTAGTTAGAGGCTGCCTCTAAAAACCTTTGTTCCCTCCCTATCGGTGGTCGATTCTGTGAGCTATATTACCGGCTCATTGCAACTTCAGGATTTTTATGGTATACACGGTTTTGATGAAAAAACGTTAATATCGTATTCGTTTATTATGTTCTCAAAATACTTATCAGAATGTAATGTAAAGTTTACAATTTACACGTTTTTATTATGTGATGATTTGCTGATGGATATATTTTTGTATACCTTAATTTCAACCACAGTTAGTAGTACAACTGCTTTTGCAGCAATTTAGTGGTTTCCGAGGACAATTCAAGGCTGTTTTAATTGAGTGGCAATAATGAAGAGGACAGCAACCAATGCTGGGTCTAAATGGACTTTGGCAACGCACTACAGGACATAGTTTGGCTCGGTTACAGCATGGTGAAATGCGTTTTGGATGTGCCCTGATTCGGGGCTGACTACGTGATCGCCGTGGACGTCTACGTCCCACGGGGCAAGGACGTAGACAAGGTGAGCTAAAACATGGAGATCTACATGGATTTTTATAACAAGGAGGCGGTGGACAAGGGCTTATGCAGGGAGTTGGTGAACGTCGAATACACTGCAATAATGGAGAACACGATCGGCTGGGCAAACATGACTTGCCACAGCATGATATTTTACGGCATCGTTTACATGGTGCCGGCGGACATATCACGCGAGGAATTGGGCTGCAAGATTTTATATAAATTTTTCTATTATATTTAGCCCGGCACGGTGATGGGCTACAAGCTATTAGCTTATACTTTGACTGATTGCAAGATTTTGGTCGCTTATATGACATTGAACATGGGAACCCGCTAGAGGAAGGTTGTATTCTACATTGTGGAGGAGTCCATTCTAGCATTAATTCATTTTTTGCTAGCGGTGCTCCAGTCATTTTTCGAATTACCAGTTCAAATACCCCGCGACGAGGATTATTTACAGTAGATACTTTGACTGGCGCTTGTTCCTCTTGAGTTGCCGCTGCGACACACTTAGGACCTTGACATGGACTATGTCCGTATATTGGACATGTTTGTTTTGGTCCTATCTTTATATGAGAAACTGTTACCATCATATCCTCATTTACCGTGCCAATTGCCGGGCACGGCTGTTGTGTTTTAGTTGTTATTGATACAGTCTTAGCAGTGCCCACTCCTGAAGAGGGCTTTTTAGATCTTTTAGTCTGCATTGATGCTGTACTACTCAGAGATTTTGCTTGGGTGGAAACGGTGCTCGGTTCACTGCTTTTACTCAGATCTTTTTTCACAGAAATAGTAGGTGAAGGTTCTTTTTTGAATATATTTGTTACAGAGTCTTCACTTCCCATCCCCTTTTTTGACTCCGGTTTATTTTTTTTTCGTCCAAACAAGTAAATTTCAGGATTTCGTATATTATTTGGTATTCCAAATATGCTGTCACGGCAAAGTAATTTTTTCATTGGGGAATACTTGTTAGTACTTCCACCATAACTTGGAGAAAATATTTTGCTTCTATTTATCTGTATGCATTTATTAACTGAACCAGTAGCTTGTGTTCCAGAACATTGAAGGTGACAACGATCATCAAATAAGGTCATGTACACTGTGGTTTCGTTATTACCAAAAACGCGACTCTCATCTTCTGAGTTTAATCTGTCCAAATAATTTGTGGACGATTTTAAAGTTTTATTCTGTAAACTCCAAAAATAGTCTATCGTTCTTGAAAAGGAAACACTTCTACGCTTGGACCTAATAGTACTAACAGTGCAGACAGAACTCGCAGAAAATATATCAGCGGTAATTGAATTTGGTTTTCTCAGTTCGTTTGAAAAATCCATGTTACTAGAATCTGTTAAACATTGTAAACTTTCATAGTTAGATGTAGTTTCACTTTCTGCCTTGAACCTCTGATCTGTTTTGTATAAATCTAAAATAAGCGGCTCTATTTCATCGCTCGCTATATTGTTTTTATTTACCTCTACTTTATCTTGATTACGGGGCAAACTCAGGAACGTACCTGGGATGAGATTTTTAATTTATGATAAAACTCCTATAAACAAAAAAGTAAAATAAAGTATGTATACACTCTTAATTAAAGTTAAATTAAGGAAGCTTTATTTTATTTGTTTCTGGTTATTGCGGTACGCGCGTTCTATCTTGGCTAGGCTGATGTTAGTCGCGAGTGGCTGCTCAGATATAGTTTTTAAGCCGTCAATACATCATGTTGGCCAAGCCTCACCCAATGCGAGCGGAAACAAATTGTTACTCGTACAATGCGAGTGCTTCATTCTACATGTTGGTCAAGTTTGAAAGAGTGAAGACACTGACATGGTCGACTAACATGTGGGCAGGACTTGCTGAGTGCAGGCGAGCGCCTTTGATTTGTGCAGAAAAACCGACACTGTTCCGAAGTGAGACGAGTCGTGGCGAGCGATCCCGAGTGGTGGCAAGGAATAATTCAATAAAACAATAGTATCTTATAAAATTATTTATTAGATACTATAGTTTTATTGAAATACATAAAAGTATTTTCATTATAATAATAATTTTCAATTTATTCTATAATCGATATAGACAAAATAAACCGTTTCCCTAAGCAATCTTAGGGGTGAATATGAAGTAACACATACATATCTATCAACCAGTGTCTACGAGGATACAATACATGAATGTCTCGGAAAGCCAACTTTAGGCCTGTCAAGATAGAACGCGCGGACTTTACAAAATATGACGGTAAATTGTAGAATGTATTATCACTACTTAAATGTTTTTTTGGTTTATTATCCCCAATAGTTTATTAATTTATTTAATAACACGCTTAAATAGCCTATTTCCAGTATTCTTAACAAATAATCTTACTGGTAAGACTACTGGAAAATTTTTGTCCCAGTAGCATAAATAGTAAGATTAATATTAATATTTGGTTTGTTAGATACGATATCCAGTAAATATATGCAGTATAAGTGTACAAAATAAACGTTGAAATGATAATGACACCTATTACATGATTATTCATATATAAAGTTATTAAAGTTAATCCAAATAAAAATAACCTCTATTATTTAATAATCATCTATTTTATAGCGTAAGACCGATGCGAATTTTCTTTCCCATTGGTCTTAACAGTAAGTATACTAGAGAAGAAATTTCCAATAATACAATATATTCGCAATTTGAGCGAAAATTTATTTTTCTTACTTGTAAGACTAGTGGCATTACGCCCTTTAATTTTATGATTAGAATTTATAGATTTGCAAAACTCGGTGGCGAATTTCTAAAACAGAAGTCAGTTTAGTACTTGAATTATTGAGCGGTTAACTACGATGGAGTGGGGGCGTGAAGAGATTGGGCTAAATCTCCTTTTACTAGTATCACATTAAATATATATATGTTAAATACATAATAAATGTAATTTGTTTTACAGATTTTTACTATAAATCCTTGTCTTCAGTCTTTCCAAAACAATATCGAGGTGGTAAGACCCCATTTCAGCCATGGAGTCCGTCGAGGTAATTACCACACAATTACCTATTTCTGTGGCCAAATAGCAGCGCTTGCACTGCTGAATTCTGAAGCCTATACAAACCTGTCTGAAGCCTATAGAAAGTCAGTAAAATTACACGCTCTGAGGTATTTCATCTTAGTCCTCGAATATGACAACGCATCTGTAGCTGTCATTGTTTAAATTCGGCTGCAGATGTCCCTAGATTGCAGTAGCTACTTCCATCAGGTGAACTGTAAGTTTGTCACTTTAATTTATAAAAAAGAAAAATAGGTAACCAAATAAAAATAAAATATTTTGGCAAAATTTGTATGTGAATTTAAAATAAGACAATTTTTAAAATTACACTATTTGGTTGCTCCAAAATTATTTCAGGAAAACAGTATATAATATATTGATTACATTTCAATTGTTACAAATCACATTCAGTCGGTTTTGTTATGCAGCAAACTTGACAGCTAGAGGTGTACTGAGCAGTGCGGTTATCAGTTACTGGTACTATCTTTTTATGCGATACTACCGGTGTTATAAATTGATATTCAAGTTTTGATTTCCTTCCTGGCATTTCAATTGTCTTGCCAATACGCAATTTTATTACTTGCTGAGGAAAGTCGTAAACAACCCCATGGTAGTTTTCTGCATTAGTAGGTGACAACTGACCAGGCTCGTCTCTAGCGATATCACCAACGCCATCCGTTGTATAGTTGAAATGTGCTCGCTGTTTGTGTCCGGTACCGCAGGAATCCGAAGGCATTTGGAAAATAATCTTGTTACCCGGTGGACAGCAATCTGCACAATTTTATATCTTAACGTAACTGTGAGTAGGTACAGAGGTTACTGAAAAACGATATATAACTATTTGAAACCTTTTAAACATAATATATTTAAAAATAATACATTTCGGAATTTAGTAGAGTATATTTTATAATATATTATCCTACAAGTTAATGCTTCTTTTTTTCTTTGGATTTTTTAAGGCGCCCAATATAACAATCGCAATCTGGATCGGATTGTATTCGAGCATTATGTTTTTGAACTGGCGGTTTTTTGTCAGGACCTTTCGGTGTCACTAATTCAAATTCTAGCTTGCATTTTTTCTCTCCTTGGATAGCAGTTTTAGCTACTTTTAAAACAAATGAATCTTTATTTGGAATTTCTTGATATTTATTGTCTCCACGCGCTAACGCTGTTTGCTGACCGTGCTTAGAAGCTTGGATACATCCTTCTGTAGTACATGTAAATTGTGTGTTAGCGAGTTGTGCTCCATTACAACATATTGCTTCACTGGGCATTGCCAAACTTATTTGGTTTTTTCCACATGGTGGCTGACAGGATGTATTATCATCAGTGCCTTTAAGATATGGACTTTGCATCGCGCAGTGAGTTTGACTGATCTTCTTTATAATAGATGAGGTAGCTGGTACTTTAATTTTAAGCTCATTTCCGCCCAAATTAGTGTCTATTTCTTCAAATTGTTTGCTGCGACCTGGTCACCGAGAAATGGGGCAACTAAGACAAGACTTACTTTATTTACTCTTTTAAAAAGATTTAGTATTTAAGATATATTTTTATATAGAATAAGGGTGACAAACTAGCACACAGTCCACCTGATGTTAAGTGAATGCTGTGGCTGATAGACATCTACATTTATCTTCAATTAAGAATCAAATCGCGGATGCGTTTTCATTCTTAATGTTCATGAGGACTAATTAATTGACAAATTGTAACTTACACCGAAAAAAAAAATAGAATATAAAAATTGCAGAACTATTTATAAACGTAATTAATATGTTCTCACCTTTTGGTACATGGAGACAATATTGATCCATATTTCGACAAATCATGTTTTGTTTTACTGGTGGTTTAGGGCCAGAACAATAACATGGATCATCTGATTCTTGGCATGGCATGCTGTTGAATGGATCTCGAGCTGTAATGAACATTGAAAATTATTATATGTTTAAATTTAAAAAGGCTATAAAGAACAAATACGCCATGCTCTAAAGTACCTGAAGGACAAATTCCAAACCCGGCGGTCTTGCTTGTAGTACAAGACGGTTGAGCCGCAACACTTACATCCCCCAGATGTCTAGTAGCTCCGCATACGCACGGGTCTTGAACAGTCTGATAGTCTCTTTGGGGACGACATGATCTATCTATGGGCGCTACAGTTCTATCGGTTTCCAATTTTGTTGCAACACCAGTCCCTTGAAATTTCGTAACAATCAATTTTCCAAAACAAGAAATTCGTAAGAACATAATAATTTCCCCTGTTTCACCGCCATCTGGGCCGACGATTCGAAATGCGTCCTTCAGGGCTTGGTAACTGACTCCACTTGGATCTTCGATAAATTTATTACGAGCTTGAATAAATTCTTTGGTCATATCAATGGTGGCTTCACCCATTACAATTTTAGTAGGTAAGCAACCACATGGCAGTGACTTGTAAACAGTTACTTTAATAGGAAATTTACTCATAGCTTTTCCAATGTCAGCTTCTTTAAGAGAAAAAAGACATGATTTTCCACTGTTAAAAGTTTTTATAAAAGGTCCTCCACTCTTGGTAGCATTAGAACCCGGATCATCATCGCAAATTTCAAAAGGTTCGACTGAAGGACATTCAATATTCACACAAGTTCTAAAATCTTTATCTGTAAAACAGGGACTTTTTATAAACGCAATTTTATCTATAAGTACCTCCAGCAGAAAAAGACTGTCATCTTGTTTAGCCATCGTAGATATAATTAGGGGATGGGAAGTACTAGGTATATTTTATTTTTTTAAGATGAGATAAACATTCTTGGAATTTTGACAACAGCTTATGATGTTAACAAAAGAATTCTGTCACTTTAGATTAGACAGAAGTAAGTTATTTTTTCATAAATATTTCTATGAACTTTTTGAGCACAAAGAATGTTTAAAAAAAAAGTTGTTGCTTAAAATGTTTTAAAGATTTTTTTATAGAATAAGGGTGACAAACGAGCACACAGTCCACCTGATGGAAGTGGTCGCTGCGGCCCATAGACATCTACATCTATCTTCGATTGCGAATTAAAATGCAGATGCGTTGTCAGCCGTGAGAACTAAGATAGAATGCCTCTTTTCCAGTAAAATGGGTCTCTGGTTCTCTACAATCACCATACGAAACATAGCAGCGTTAAGCTGCTATTTTACGCTGATATTCCGTGAGAGCGTGGTCCTTCCCCTGTCGAGCCGACCCAATCGTGCTACAACTATACTACTAATATAGTTGCAGCGTGGCTCTGCTACGTAAAAAAATGTTGAATGTTTTAATGTCTACAATAAACATTTTTGCGACAAAGCTGCATATAAACTACTAGTTAGTTCGGCTGACGTTTTTCAGAAATTTCGGGTAGATAGCGCAATGAATTTCAATCAGAATTCACCAACGACTCTAAGTTTACGTACTAGCTACTCAGCTTTACATCACAGAGTGCTATTTTTTACCAGTATGATGTTATTTTTTTCGACTTAATCAAATACGCCAACATTTTTCTACAATCTTTAAAATTATATGTATTTTTTAAATGCATCCGTGTATATCATCAAAATAGCTACATGCTATCATGTTGTTGCTCTATGCATTATTGCATTGTCATCGAAGAAACATGAGTATGCTTAATTTCAGCACAATCTGATGTCAGCAACATAAAACATATGTAGGTATAAGACTAATTTTTACGCATTATGCATGTTCAGAATACATTATAAACATAAACGTTCCTCAAGAATCTAATCTCTTAATTTAGCCACAATTAAGAATGAAAATGCAGATGTTGTCACCCTTAGGATTAAGATAGTGAAAACTGCATTAAAAACCATCACGTAATTTTATAGTTCAATGATTCTAAAGTCAATACACACAATACGTTTACGCGACTTTTTATACCACATATATCGTTACAGACCTTACAGATTTAGTCTAAATTTTTAAATATTATATTAATAATAATATATCGGCAACTGTACTACACACCATGCAACTGTTACCAAAATACTTACACCGTTACCGTCTACCATATCAGCATATTAAAATTCAATATTGAACATAATTGGTGTCCCCTTAGATTGCCTCATAGATATTTGCCGTAGTTGCCACGCTTGGCAAGCAGGTTGGCAACCGCAGTTTTTTATTTAAGTCGTTATAAGGAAGTCTCTGCTGCCCATCTCCTGATTTGTTTTCCTCTGTCACTCTTACAACCACGAGATAATATGGGGTAGTGGATATTCTTACATCGCCATTACATAATAGTTTATCGTAATTTAGGCCAGGGCGTGTTTAATTTACAGTATGCAGTCTTTCCGATGGTATGCTCAAGATGATGTTTGCGCTAGCCCGTATGCGAGTCAGCATGATGGCACATGTGCCGATATAAACTTGCCTGAGGCGTTACAATACCGGGGCGCTCTCATTAGAATCCTAAACGCATTATTGTATATGAAGCAATACCTTTTTTTGTTTATGGATAAACATTTAAATATTATTTATGACTAACAAAATACACCCACAATTCACATTGTCTTTTTTATAAATATTCATTTAGAGTAATTGGGTTCTAAAGTTTATTACTTTAGGTGAATGTTTTACTGTACCAAAAGGGATGTTCAAATAATTTCTGGCATTCTTTTTGGGCGTAAGAAAATAATATATTATAGTGGAAATAAAACACTTATTAATTAGTCGGTCTTTATTCATTCTTTTTCATTTATGTGTTTCAAATAACAATATCGGTAGAGTATTAATTACGTTGAAAATTTTCGTAAAATACACTTATAACTTTGTGGTGGATACTTGATGTAGTACCAATTACAAGCTTCATTTTTAAACGGTCGACCAACCCTGAATAAAAAAATATTTTGTTTTTAGCTTTTTCTAGAATACTAACTAAATAAAGTACGAAACAATTCTTAAGGTCAAATCCTGTAGTCAATGATTAAGCACATAATTTTTTAAAAGAAGAGGGGGCAACCGAGCATATGGATCACTTGATAGTAAATGACGACCGCAGCCCAACAACGTGAAGAGACAAGAAAGTAGGCTCTTTTCTTGAATGTTCCTATAAGTAGTGTCGGTCCGAAAAACCTGCTGGTGACAGTAAAATTTCACAATATGTCGTATGTGGCAGGTGATGCGTAGAAAAACGCACAGTGGTATATTGCAATAATAACAATGCAAAAGTGATTTTTTTTAAAGTGAAATGGCTTTTGTTATTCTTAGGCAGTGCGCTTTATCCTCATGTAGCCGAACCACTTACCATCAGTTGGGACAGCTGTCGAGTAATAGATAAATATTCGATAATAAATATGAAATACTATTTTATACAGTCCAGCAATTAAATATATATTAACATGACACAAACAAAATTATATAGGAACTAAAATTGCATCTCCTCTCCAAATAACTTAAAGAAGCATCATAGCAGGAAACAGCAACGCTGATTTTTTGAAAACCCCTAATGGATGGGATTCTAAACTAAAATAAACCAATCTAGGTCACTTTTCTATACAAATAAATAAAAGAAAAGTGTCTGTATGTAACGTCGAAATAACAGCTTTTTACTATATGCATATGAAAGTATATACGGTACTTATAACAAAAACCGAACAGAAACGGCTGGACCGATTTTAACCGGACTTTCAATGACCGATAGCTGATGTTATAGGAAGTAACTTAGGCTACTTTTATTTTAAAAAAAATACATGTTAATATATACAAAAATGCGAAAAATTCTTATAATGGACAAAAAATTATTTAGAGAGACTTTTTATAAGGGCAATTTTTATAGAGCCAGCATCTGGTTTCATGGTGAGATCACTTTCCTGTTATCGGAAATTACACAAGTACTTACAGATATCAAATTTTAGCTAAATCGGATATCAGCAAATGCTTAAAAAAATGATTACAAAAGAACCGCAAAGATATAGGAAGAAGTTAAGTTAATGTATAAACTTGTTAAAACAGTTACATACTCGTCCATTAATTCTCGTATTTTCTCAGGAGATAATACTGTGTTTACATCAGGATAGTATCTCCATCTTTCTCGTTCCGTATCTCCTGTCTCTTCAATGAAAAGGCGGTGTGTCAAAGTATCGTTCGCTTTTTGACAGTCATGACAGTGTGAGCTTAATGGTTTCTAAAACATTTTGAATTAGGTAATAACTATTTACTAATATATATATATATATATATATATATATATATATATATATATATATATATATATATATATATATAAAAATACAGTACATTCATTCTTGGGACAATGTATACGCTATTACAACAGGGTCCCGGAAAGTGTACAGGCTCTCTCTATTACCAAGTTTAAATGTTTTGTTAAGTTGAAACTGTATAAAAAGGGTTATTATAGTATAAATGAATACATCGTTGATAATTACCCCTGGGAATGAGGTAGTCGCTTCCAAGCTGTTTCTAAAACAAATTTTGTATCTACCAATCATTAATGTAAAATATGCTTTTAAAAAAAAGTCCCGCTGGGTTTCTTTCTGATTCTTCCCAGGGCAGAGGTTTTTTTTTTCGAACCAGTGGTAAAGTAAAAAATGACTTCCAATAAGAATTACACATGTGATCTATATTGAATAAAAAATTATTCTATTCTATTCTATTCTACTATATGAATATTTCTTCTTCTTTTTCCGCTCATTCCGCAACACAACTGGACGTGGATCTGTCATGTTGGAAGGAGAATTTCCGGTAATCGACACGCATGGCAGATATTGTCGAACGTACTAATTAGATTGCTTACACATTTGACGCTTCTCGAGACCCGATGGCATCGAGTGGTGAATACTTTTGCGCTACCAAGCAAAAGTATTCACAAGGGCGACTTAGGCAACTATGGGAAAATCATAAGGCCGACAGACATAAAAACTAGACCGGTGATGGGGAGCGTGAATAGTACTATTAAGGCACCTCCTCCTTTAAACTGGAAAGATATGTTCTAGTTAATAATTAAATGGAAATATAAAAAACTGTAAAATAACGTTTATAAGATACGATATAACGTATTATATATATATTATATCGTGTCCCCTCAGTTTCGACATATCGAGTAACGTGCAGTTTCGTGTTCACCTGGAAGAGAAGGCCAAATTAGTCTCTAAAAAGCTTGGCGTGCTCAGCAGAGCGGGACAGTATTTCATGCCGGCACACCGTCTACAACTTTAAAAGGCGCTGGTTCGTCCTCTCATGGAATACTGTTCCCATCTCTTGGCTGGGACTCCCCAGTGCCAGTGCCTTCCACTTGGCCGTATCCAGTGCAGAGCGGCTAAAATCATCGACGACCGAGTCCTTTCTGATCGGCTCTATTCACTGGCGCTGCGAAGAGATGTTGCATTTCTTTGCGTATTTTATCGCATCTACCACGGGGAGTGCTCTGAGGAAGTGTTCGGACTAATTCCAAACGCTCAATTTCACCATCGCAAATCGCGACAAAACTCGCGATACCATCCATACCATCTGGATGATTGGCGGTCCACCACTGTGCGATTTAGAAGAAGTTTTCTTCCTCATACAACTTCCTTGAAGGATCGATTACCACCAGCGATTTTTCCAGACCCACTCTTTTTTAAAAGGCTGGCAACGCATCTGCAATTCCACTGGTGTTGCAATTGTTCATGGGCGGCGGTAGTCACTTACCATCAGGTGAGCCGCATGCTCGTTTGCCCCCTCTCCTATAAAAAAAAATTGCATAATATATCTAGTTACATAGTATGCCATAGTCCCGTAAGTGCGAACTAAGGACAATGCCCTAGAGCCTAGAGCAACATTTTATTTTTGTGTTCAAAGTAACACACATACAATATTATACTAAGACACAAAAAGAAATTAATTTGCATTTTTGCCTATATATGTTGAAATTTGCGTTGCTAGCAAAACGTTTCGCTAGTATACGATAAATATTAATAGCAAACAATTAAGTGCTAATTAGGTGCTGCAAGTATAAGCCATGACAAGGCGCTCCTAATAAAAATAAAGTCGTTATTTCAAAAATGTTTTTAGAAAAAGCCCAAATTAGGGGCTTTTTAGGTGATAATTAAGTACCCAGTTTAAAAATTTGTTGCTTTAAAATTTTCAACGCAACGAACGATTGAAATTTGCGTTGCTGGCAAAACGTCTCGCTAGCAACGGAACGGAACCTGATTTTTCTTGCGATTTCGAAGATAGATCTATAGTAAATGTTGTTCATGTTGACGCGGAGAATAGAAATAGAAAGCACTATTTTGGTTACACCATATATATTTTTTTAAATAATTTGTGAATATTAGTTAGACATGCAAATAAAAAGATAAACTGATAAAAATGAGGCCTTATCATTTATTCAGAAAGAAAACCTACACATAATATACACAAATATCTAAGTCAACAATGCAAATTTCAACAATTCGTTGCGGTGAAAATTTTAGAGCACCTAATTTTTAAACTTGGCACCTAATTAGCACCTAAAAAGCCCCTAATTTTGGGTTTGCTAAATGCTAATTCCTGATTTTGCGTTGCTGGCGATACACAACTTCCATCGGGCACATTACGGCACATTTTTTTCTAATCAATGACGAGGACAACTTCCAAAAAAAAATTATGTGCAGAATTCTCAAACATGCAATTTATTTTTTTTATACGTTTAATGTTGAAAAAATATAAAGAGGGGACCAAGTTCTTTTTGAACAATAGAACTATCAAAATTATAGTTTAGTAATACTTTTTACTTCCAATATGGAACGTGATAGAACGGCCACATTATAGCATCCTTTTTAACAAAAAAACCAAAGTGACGATGCTAAAATGGACATGTGTAACGAATGTGTGATAAGATCAAGATACGTTTGGATGTAGTCACATATACTGAGACAATCACAATATTTTCAATTTATATCTTTCAATAATAAGCTGATTAGTGTAAACAAGCTATACCACTCTCGCTTTACTACTAACCTATTATCTAAGGTCGTTGTTTTAAGGTAAAATAAGTTTATTATTAATTTTCTTTTTCAACAGTAGACATCTACGTACCGTCAATTTCAATGTCGTATCAGCCGCTGACGTTGTAAGTAGAACCACAGAATAGATAATAGTACCTACTAGTACAACGGGCTTGGCAGATGCTACTCTGCGTCGCCGGCCCGGGTATCGTATGCTCCGTGTAAGCAATATGGCTAACGGAAGCTCTCTGACATACCAAATAGTAGCTACTTACGACGCCCATGAGTGAAATGGGGTGATAGATTTTCTTAAGCCATCGCCACACAGCGCTATTATCATTAGAAAACTGTTATTTTTACCGCGTTTTTGTCACCGATGTGTTTTAGGCCATCACACGCATGTTGCCGCCGATATTTCACGCAGTCGAGTTCGAACTGATACGACCGTGGTAACACTTCCTGGTGAGCTGTAAAGAAGTTACGTTGAAAAATAAGCACATTAAAATCAACAAAATTAAGTATCACAATTCGATATAATTTAAATTTGACAAAGTAAGATACTATGGCCGCCAGATTTAGTTGTTTTACTATATATATACCTACGTAAGTGGTAGAGCCACACGGCAGCCTTTGCTGTCGCACGGATGGGCTGGCTCGAACCGGGGTGGTACCACGACCTAACAGAATAGCAGCGTGAAGTAGAGGTTTACCTCTGCGTTGCGCTTGGTGAGTGCAGGTGGCCGGAGGCCCCCCCCCCCATCCAACAGCACCACTGGAGAATCCCTCGCTGAGCATCCACGACCAAACTACTCCACTCCTGAGCGTGGGTGTTCAGGCTGCCCCGCGCTGTCCATTATCATCTAGAAACGGCGAAGCCGGCCTTGCTCTTTTTAACCGAAACTCAGGTGTCCTCTCTGGCTAGTACTTCATATCTCTCCTACCCGGGGTACAAATTAGAACACTCCTTTGTGCCCCGGGCTGGAGTTTGCGTATACGTCAGAGAGGACATCTGTTTTCGACACCTCGGCAGTCTTCAAGGTACGGACCTGTCCATCCTATGGCTACGCGTAGACAGCGACGACCATCCCCGCGTCTTCGAGTGCCTCTATAGGTCCCATAGCGGTAATGCCGACACAGACTGACTCATCGACCACGTCCAAATGGCTGCAGACTCCGTGCTACAACAGGTCCCATACGCAGAGATCGTGATACTCGGTGATTCTAACGCCCAACACGCTGAATGGCTTGGTTCCCGTTTAACTGATCATGCGGGTAGATCTGTCTATGACTTTGCCTTGGCATATGGTCTAACACAACTGGTTACTTCGGCTACGCGGCTCCCAGATGTGGAGGATTATGTACCTTCTCTGTTGGATCTTCTGCTGGCCTCTCATCCGGACGGATATCAGGTTTCCGTCGATGCCCCTCTGGGCTCTTCGGACCATTGTCTGGTCCGGATTACGGTGCCACTCATGCTCCCATCGCAGTTGCATTCTGCAGCTTGCCGCCGTGATTGGCACTATAGGTCGGCTGATTGGGACGGTATGCAGTCTTTTATTTCGCATCCTACCCTTGGGGGCGGGTTTGCTTCTCGCCGCAAGATCCCAGCGTTGTTGCCGATTGTGTTGCTGATGTGGTACTTCAGGGTATGGAACTTTTTATTAGATCCTCTGTGGTGCCCATTGGTGGCAGATCCCAGCCATGGTTTGGTCGCTCCTGTAAAATAGCATCACGCTATAAGCAGGAGTGCTACCGGGCCTGGGCTGACGCATCAACGTCTCGGGATATAAACACCAGCGCTCTTAAAAAGAAGTATAATTCCGCCTCCAGGTCCTTCAAAAGCGTCATTGCCAAGGCAAGATCTGAGCACATCGGCAGAATTGGCGAGAAGCTAGTTCACCTCCTTCAGGAACCCGTGTTTTCTGCTCTCTTGCCAAGGCTGTCCAAGGGAACTTCTGTCAGTCTTCTCTTCCATCTCTGCACAGAGAGGATGACTCAATGGCTCAAAGGAGAAAGCCGATCTGTTAAGCTCTCTCTTTGCGTCCAACTCGACTCTAGATGACGGGGGGAACACACCGCTGACCATCCCGCGGTGTGAGTGTTCCATGCCGGATGTGCGGTTTATACAGCGCTCGGTTCGCAAAGAACTCTTCTCTCTGGACGTCAGCAAGTCGAGTGGGCGTGATGGAGTTCCTCCCATTGTGCTGAAGACGTGTGCTCCGGAGTTGGCACCGCGTCTTTTCCGGTACTCCTACTCCAAAGGCGTAGTCCTGAATTCAGGGAAGATATCTTTGGTACATCTGATCCCTAATAAAGGCAACCCCTCAGACCCGTCCAACTACAGGCCTATCGCCATCATCTCCTTGTTCTCCAAAATAATGGAATCCATTATAAACTGCCAGCTCACGAGGTACCTTGAGGATCACCAGCTGTTTAGTGACCACCAGTACGGTTTTCGTCGGGGTCGATCCACTGGTGATGTTCTGGTCTACCTGACTAATAGATGGGCGGAGGCAGTAGAGTCCAAGGGGGAGGCACTGGCCGTTAGTTTGGACATAGCGAAGGCCTTCGGTCGGGTCTTGTACAAAGCGCTTCTTTCGAAGTTTCCTCCCTATGGGCTTCCCGAGAAATTCTGCAAATGGATCACCAATTTCCTTGCTGATCGGGGCATCAAGGTCGTAGTAGAAAGTGCATGCTCTGATTTCAAGATTATCAACGCTGGTGTTCCACAAGGCTGCGTGCTATCACCAACGCTGTTTCTCCTGTATATCAATAATATGTTGCTAACTGGTAACATTCATTACTATGCAGACGGCAGCACTGGTAATGCCTTATAAACCGGCCATGCCAATATTTCTCGGGAAAACGTCGCCGAGTACCGGGACAAACTTGTGTCTGAAGTCGAGTCTTTGCTAAACAAAGTCTTCGATTGGGGGAGACTAAGTCTCGTCCAGTTCAATCCCCAGATTACCACTAAAAATAACCTCTTTGTCATATCTCCTCAGTTTCAAGGCACTCCCCTTGCTGCCTGAGCTAGCATCGTGGTCACTTGGAAGCGAAGGCCAAATTGGCCTCTAAAAAGCTTGGCGTGCTCAGCAGAGCGAGACAGTATTTCATACTGGCACATCGCTTGCAACTTTACAAAGCGCAAGTTCGGCCTCACATGGAATACTGTTCTCATCTCTGGGCCGGGGCACCCTAGTGCCAGCTTCTTCCACTTGACCGCATCCAGCGCAGAGCGGTTCGAATCGTCGACGACCGAGTCCTTTCCCATCGGCTCGATACACTGGCACTGCATAGGGATGTTGCATCCCTTTGCATTTTCTATCGAATTTACCACGGGGAGTGCTCTGAGGAATTGTTCGGATTAATTCCAGCCGCCAAATTCCACGAACGCACATCGCGTCAAAATTCACGATTCCATCCTCACCATCTGGATGCTTGGCGGTCCACGACTGTTCGTTGTAATAGGAGTTTTCTTTCTCGTACAACTTCTCTGGGGATTTGTTTACCACCGGCGACTTCTCCGGACCAATACGACTTAGGAACCTTCAAGAAAAGAGCTTACACCTTTTCTGCAATTCCCCTGGTGTTGCGATTGTTCATGGGCGGCGGTAGTCACTTACCATCAGGTGAGCCGCATGCTCGTTTGCCCCCTCTTCTACAAGAAAAAGAGAACAGCCAGACGTCTAAAAGCTCAATAAATAATCGCGGCAATAACGATAAATTATTGAAGTATATATATCATTAAAATCGGTTGAACGGTTTCAGAGCTTAGCGTGAACAAACATCGTGACGTTATTTGGGCTGCTTTTTAGTAAGTTTTTTCAAATAGGCAGACCAATCTGTAGGGTCTAACGTCTTACATTTCCCTCAGAAATCCGCGGAAAGTGTCAGGTAATCGTAAATATGAATTTCTAATACTGTCCCACTGAATATATTAAATAGCCGACTAAATATCTGAACATAGTATAGCAACTTTTGTTTAATTTTACTGCCATTTATCTCTGATACTCAGCTTATGTACGTTCGTCCATAGTTCTTAGTACCTACGCATCTAATGAAAAATCGAAGGTACTGGCGGCCCAGGAATCTTGGTCACATGAGTAAGTAAACGGAACAGAGATAAAGCTTCATACAACCGCGCGAATCCGTTGCACTACTACAAGCACACGGGGCATGTGTGCGTGACCACTGGCCGCTTGTCGCGTACGCGGTGAGTCTGGAAAAAACCGGTTACGCTGGCACAACCAGTGGACAACCATCTCAGGGTCAGTGCGAAGCACGTTGTTTATTTTGTTAGTTGCAAGTTTGAATATTTTAATGTAACAACGTGGTATTATTAATAATGGTTATTGATTGTACTTTGTATGAATAAAACTAGAAAAAATAAAAATATATCATACTTTAACTATCCCAAAGAGTATTAGGTAAGCAAATATTTGATTATTACTTTTCAAGTAAGTACCTTTATTTTATTGTATGATCGTTCTTTTAATAAGAAGAGAGTACTACACATTGTTGTTTTATCTATTTATTGTTATTACAATCTTTTACTAAATATTTGTAGGTATACGGGTGGGTTGGTATGTAATAGGTATGTGGTTAAAGTTTACATATTGCAAGTAAGATTTGAACCACTTCCCGATGTCTGATTGAGTTGAAATTTTCTGCCGACTTCCAAAAAGGAGCCGGTACTCAATTCGACTGTATGTTTTGTTTTTTCGTTTTTTTTTTTTTTATGTGTGTTACCTCAGAACTTTTTTCTGGGTGAACCGATTTCGATGATTCTTTTTTTATTTGAAAGCTGGTACTTCTCGTGTGGTCCCATATGAATTTGATCAAGGTCAGACCAATAGTTTTTAAGTTATTCTTAAATAACTTATATTGAAGTCGGCTGTACAAAATTTTAAATTTTAAATTATGTATACCATAACTTCAGTGATAATGCAATAATAGGATGGATATTGTTTTGTTTAATTTGTCTTCACCTATTTTGACAACCCTACCAAAATAGATAACAATTTTGCATGTTCTTAGGAAGCTTTGCCTCTGTTCCGTTTATTTACTCATGTGTCTTGATCTACAGTAGAAAAGAATTACATGGTATCTTAATTTTGAGAAATTTTAGATGAATTTTCCAGTGTAATAACAAATTAGTGTGGCATATAAATTTATTAGTTTTTATCTTAGAACCTACGGCTACAACGTCTCAAAGACGCTATAGCTCATTTATTATAAACGATTGTATGGAAAATTCTGACTCACTAAATACATGGTCCCTAAGTTAATCACACTATCAGAAGAAAAAATGGTTTGACCACTATTTCTTATCTTCTTTATTCCCTTTCTCATTCAGGTCATTGTCTCAATATAGACAAGCTAATAAGAAATAATATTTAATATGTCATGCATCTATGAATTACTTTGCGTTTATTTTAATGTTGAAAAACACAAGCATTTTTGTTTTAATATTGGACTGATTTTGTTAAAATTTTAACCATGGTCAAACATTTATAACATACTTTCAAAGATAACGTTTGACAATGAAACATGGACAAAATTCTTGCAAGTTTATGTATTACGATATTTTTACATACGTGGTTTGAATTTCTAATACTGTCCCACTGAATATATTAAATAGCCGACTAAATATCTGAACATAGTATAGCAACTTTTGTTTAATTTTACTGCCATTTATCTCTGATACTCAGCTTATGTACGTTCGTCCATAGTTCTTAGTACCTACGCATCTAATGAAAAATCGAAGGTACTGGCGGCCCAGGAATCTTGGTCACATGAGTAAGTAAACGGAACAGAGATAAAGCTTCATACAACCGCGCGAATCCGTTGCACTACTACAAGCACACGGGGCATGTGTGCGTGACCACTGGCCGCTTGTCGCGTACGCGGTGAGTCTGGAAAAAACCGGTTACGCTGGCACAACCAGTGGACAACAATCTCAGGGTCAGTGCGAAGCACGTTGTTTATTTTGTTAGTTGCAAGTTTGAATATTTTAATGTAACAACGTGGTATTATTAATAATGGTTATTGATTGTACTTTGTATGAATAAAACTAGAAAAAATAAAAATATATCATACTTTAACTATCCCAAAGAGTATTAGGTAAGCAAATATTTGATTATTACTTTTCAAGTAAGTACCTTTATTTTATTGTATGATCGTTCTTTTAATAAGAAGAGAGTACTACACATTGTTGTTTTATCTATTTATTGTTATTACAATCTTTTACTAAATATTTGTAGGTATACGGGTGGGTTGGTATGTAATAGGTATGTGGTTAAAGTTTACATATTGCAAGTAAGATTTGAACCACTTCCCGATGTCTGATTGAGTTGAAATTTTCTGCCGACTTCCAAAAAGGAGCCGGTACTCAATTCGACTGTATGTTTTTTTTTCGTTTTTTTTTTATGTGTGTTACCTCAGAACTTTTTTCTGGGTGAACCGATTTCGATGATTCTTTTTTTATTTGAAAGCTGGTACTTCTCGTGTGGTCCCATATGAATTTGATCAAGGTCAGACCAATAGTTTTTAAGTTATTCTTAAATAACTTATATTGAAGTCGGCTGTACAAAATTTTTAATTTTAAATTATGTATACCATAACTTCAGTGATAATGCAATAATAGGATGGATATTGTTTTGTTTAATTTGTCTTCACCTATTTTGACAACCCTACCAAAATAGATAACAATTTTGCATGTTCTTAGGAAGCTTTGCCTCTGTTCCGTTTATTTACTCATGTGTCTTGGTCTACAGTAGAAAAGAATTACATGGTATCTTAATTTTGAGAAATTTTAGATGAATTTTCCAGTGTAATAACAAATTAGTGTGGCATATAAATTTATTAGTTTTTATCTTAGAACCTACGGCTACAACGTCTCAAAATACGCTATAGCTCATTTATTATAAACGATTGTATGGAAAATTCTGGCTCACTAAATACATGGTCCCTAAGTTAATCACACTATCAGAAGAAAAAATGGTTTGACCACTATTTCTTATCTTCTTTATTCCCTTTCTCATTCAGGTCATTGTCTCAATATAGACAAGCTAATAAGAAATAATATTTAATATGTCATGCATCTATGAATTACTTTGCGTTTATTTTAATGTTGAAAAACACAAGCATTTTTGTTTTAATATTGGACTGATTTTGTTAAAATTTTAACCATGGTCAAACATTTATAACATACTTTCAAAGATAACGTTTGACAATGAAACATGGACAAAATTCTTGCAAGTTTATGTATTACGATATTTTTACATACGTGGTTTGATTACTTCTGTAGTCATTCCGTAATAGTTATAGGCATCGTGGAGCGTATAAGCATTTGCCCCAGGTTTGTCCACCCAAAACGCTTTGTCTTTTTGAACTGCTCTATCAATTACCGCATCTGGCAGGTCGTCTATAGTTGGCCTGTTAAGAAAAATCATTTCATACTTTTGGTTTAGTATATCCTATTTTCATGTATTATATATACATTACATGATAATAGGGTATACTTCGAAAGTTAGGAAATATCTGGTGTAAGAATATGCACTAGCCTATATCGTCACGTCGGTTTCATAAGAGGTGATAGAGAGAAACCAGGAGACGCGCAACAACGTCTTTCAAAACAACTTAAAAAAACACACATCTAGAACCCGTCTCCTAAGCGTGACAGCTATGGCGTATTCCCCTTTAAAATTATCTATGTTTAACAGTAGACTTTTGAGGCTGTAACGGTAAGTTATACATCTGCATACTCGTATAATGAAAAAAAAAGTTTAATTAAATATTATATTAATATATTTTGGCTATTAAAATAGTTTTACTACTCTACCGGCTCCAATTGTGAATTCAATCACGCACAAAAATATCATCAAAATCGATCGAGCCTTTTTGAGTTTTGTCGAGACTAACAACAGCTATTGATTTTTATATATAGATAATAAATACATCTAACGCAAATATAGTACCATATTATAGCATTATATAGCACAGTTAGCAAGCCTGCTTAGAACATCACCCTACTTGAAATTGCAAAGTGCCAGATGAAAAGTAGTCCTGTGAGTAATAGTTAATAATAGTTTTCGTGCTAATATCCCTTGCTCGGCGGCGAAGGTAAAATATGCAAGGTAATCTGTGAAAAGTTTAAGAAAAGTCTGCTAAAAACTAAAAACTAAGTTTGTAACCGCGTTAAATATTTTTAAAATGATATAACTACAAATTAACGGTTTTCGGACTTATTGCTTTATTCGTACTGTGAGACGACGCTTCTTACCAAATTTTGTGATTCTTGGTGAACGGTAAATTAAATACTTGAGTTTGTGAGTATCAAATATGGAATAAAAATCTTTTAATGTTATGATGAAACCTTACCTTACCTCCGGACTTGATAGGATGACCTGAAGGTGTATTTCGGTGAGTGCTATTGGAACTTCTGGAAGAGTAGAACTAGATGTGCCGAGTTTGGCCTCGTTATTTTAGTTATTATGAGACCTTACCTCCGGACTTGGTATTGTGACCTGAAGGTGTACTTCGGTGAATGCTACTGGAACTCCTCGAAGAATAGAACTAGGTGTGCCCAGTTTGGCCTCGATTTGTTAGTTATGATGAGACCTTACCTCCGGACTTGATAGAATGACCTGAAGGTGTACTTCGGTGACTGCTACTGGAACTCTTTGACGAATAGAACTACAATTTACATTTTTTTTATTTTTCACGATTAGCATGAGTCGTGCACTTATGGATTTTCCAAGCTTTTTTTAAATTGAAATTTGACATAAAATTAGTGCAAAATTGGAAGTTTAGTAATAAGGTTTTAGTGAAAACTTGTGTGCAATTGAACTACCTACTTTAAAAATTTACGTATAATCATGTTATAAGTACGTAATTTTTTTAATGTTAAGCACGCATGCACAATTGGATTTATCAATACACTTATAATTTTTTAAACTACATAACACTTGTGCATAAAACCTTGGTGGCATTTCTGCAAGTTCCCTGCTTATGGGCTGGAGATATAATCCGACGGTTTTTTGAGTCAAACATGGTGGGCACCCGGGAGTTAAGCTGTCATCAGTGCGAACCGTGAGTGAGACGTTGTTGAGAGCATACCTGTCAAGTTTTTTTAATACCTTTGTATTACTTAATTTCAAACGATTTTACATCTATCTTCGATTGCGAATTAAAACAGAGATGCGTTGTCAGCAGTGAGGACTAAGATACTCGTAGAATGCCTCGTTTTCAGTAAAAAAAGGGTCTCCGGTTCTCTGCACTCACCATACGAAACGCAGCAGCATTAGGCTGCTATTTTACGTTGGTATTCTGTGAGAGCGTGGTCCTTCCCCGGTCGAGCCGACCCATTCGTGCTAAAACTATACTATTAATATAGCTGCAGCATGGCTCTACCACGTTAAAAAATATTACATTAAACTCGCTATACGAGTAATAATCATTATAATAACCAAGTCGACTACTTTAAAAAGCTCGAAAAGTAAATATTTAATTTTTTTTTATAGGATTAGGGTGACAAACGAGCACACAGTCCACCACAGTAAGTGGTTGCTGCGGCTCATAGACATCTTCTATTACAAATCAAAATGTAGATGCGTTGTCACCCGTGAGGGCTAAGATGGAATGCCTCATTTCCAGTAAAAAGGGCCTCCGGCCACCTGCACTCACCAAGCGAAACACAGAGGTGAACCTCTACTTCACGCTGGTTTTCTGTGAGGTCGTGGTACCACCCCGGTTCGAGGCGGCCCATCCGTGCGACAGCAAAAGCTGCCGCGTGGCTCTACCACTGTTAAAATATGTATAAATATGTGTCTTCTAATTGAGTTTTATATACGTATTCTTCTAATAATATGTACTAAACTTGGAATAATTTATGGACTAACTATACGAGACCATTTGATGAGTCATTTCACTAAACCAAACAATTTAGATACTAAATTTAAATGAATTCAAAAAGTAGTTCGTAATGTGTAGGTACAATATTATTATACTTATATCGATGGTTGATGGCCACTTCAATATCGTTATGCCAAGCGCACGTGTTTTATTTAAAATATTTGTTTTTTCTTGACGATAAGTAATAAAATAATACGTTATCTACATTTTAATTTAAAATGGACTTCTGATTGGTGACTAATGATGAATTCCAAGTTTATATCGTTTTAAAGGAAACAGAAAATGTTATGGAGGCCCGGCAATCTAATTTACTGAGATCGACACGCAACGGATTCAGTTTAAAGCCGTCGATACAACTTTTTCATAATATTACAGAAACTCACTGTAATACTAGCCTATTTCATTTTGCTTCAATGACTTAATGGCTTGGCTTTGTGGACTGGCTCGCCAAATTGGCTTCGTTTAAATGGTCCATCATCTTCGAGCGGCACGAACTCATTCGCTGCAATGTCACTATGTACAGACAATGCCACTCCTAGTGATTAGCTACAGAACCAGGACGTAGATAATTACTAACTACTGGCTGTATGAGGGAACTGGAAGTCGATCCATGGGTAATGGAGATTGCTATACTTATAAAGTTTCTCGTCATAAAAACACGGGAAAGGTTAAATCAGATTTACCGACGTCGAGTCAATATTGATCACTGTTTATCGTACTTGTAAGTGTACAATATCATTCTAAACGGTGTAGATTTAGAATATGCTAGCCAGGTTAAAAACCTCGGCTTAATTTTAGCTGACGATCTAAGTTGAGGTCTGGAAACGTATTTTTAGCACAATGCATTCATTAAAGCTCTGGCAAAAATTGATCCCTCAGACGGGCAAAGTCACGCTAGTCAACTCTGTTGCTTCCTATTTTAGGTTTAGGTCTTATTTTAGGTTGATATTGATTATCCAGATATAACTGAGGAGCTGCTTAGCAAACTCGGCCGGCTGCTCAATCTGTGCATACGCTATATTTTTGGCCTGCGCAAGTTTGATCATAAATATCACAATTTCGCTCAAGACTTAAGTACAGAATAAATAATAGTACCTACTACGTGACTTAAGTGGCTCGACATCCGTTTTCGCCAGAACTCACACCTTCAACCACTTTGTATTTATGGTATTTTTCACAATCCTTGTTCCCCACTGTTTTTCATACTTAAGCTTATCCCGTTTGATGACCAACAAAACTCTAACTACCCACTTATATAAATCTACATACTACTCGGATTCCTTTTCGGTATCATGGATTACAGTTTGGACTAACCTTCCAGGCGATTTAAAAGATGCTCCTCAATAAATACATTTAAACGTAAGGTTGAGGCACATTTTTTAAAATTATTTGCATTTGTACCACATGTTTGTTTGTTTGAGTGCAATAAAGAATTTTCTATCTATCTATCTATCTACAATGATGGATTACTTAAGATAGTCATGCTAATAAACATCAATAACATGATCACATACATGCATTTGCTTAAACATACTTAGCAGGGTGGTATCCATGGTATTTATGAACGTTGCTTCGAGGATCGCTTGGATGTTTGTTAACCATGACGACAATATTGATTAAAGTTATTTGTATCTCAGTGATCACAAAAATAAAGCATCTCGTTTATTATATAGTTGATTATTATATAGTGTTATTATATACTACTATTTGTTATATATCAATCATCACAACAAAAAATTTAGACAACCTCTTATTTTAGGTACCTAATTAAAACTTTATTTGTTTAACATAAGTAACTTAGCATTTTGCCAATTTTTGGGTGATAAACCTAAAGGCAAATATATTTAAAATACCTAATCTATGCTCAAAATGATTACTGTCTAACTCATAGATAAATATATATGTAGCAAGCTAGTCTAACTGTCTAATTTATCTTCTTCTAATTTAAAATGTAGTCATAAATATATTTTTATAATTATAATAATCTATGAAAAATATACTTTCTTAAACAGACCTTAGATTAATTACATACATACTTATGTATAGAGGGAACCTAAAATTCTACATAAATTGAATCAATATACTTGTCTCACTTTTTCTAATTTAATTTTCAAATAAGGCAAAAAGAGAAACGTATTGAAAGATGTTGAATGCATAGACTTAGAATATACTGACGTATAGACCTACATGTGTGCAAGGGAGAAGAAAATTCCTTATGGTAAAAATGCAAGATAGAAAAGGATACCAAATCTCATGACTCTGTAACCGATTTTGAACGACAGATCGGCACAATTCAGCACGCAAGAAATATCTATTAGATGTTTTGTAATTTTTTAGAGTGTAATAGTCGTTATTTCTATTAAGTAACTTTTTTGCAAAATGGTTACTTAATGTGCGAGTGACTGTGGTGTTAATAATAGAAATAATCCTGATAATTGCACCTTTCACAGGTAAATGCTTAAGACGTCGTCAATGTTATGACGCGTTTATTTTTGGTTAAAATTTATGTTATATACTGTGTAAAATATAGAATGTTATCAATTATTTTGTTAATTTTGATAATTTGCAAATAAAAAAGTCACGTTGTTGATAATTTGCATGAATTTGGTAAATACATTTTAATATAAAATATTTTACATGTACGCTAGGGATTGAATCTACTGATATAGCTGAAATTACAAATTACTGTCGACATTTATCTTGAATGTCTATAATTAATCAATAGACTTGCGCACATAACAAAAAATAAATCCTCGGTTTGCGTTCTAAAATGTAATTTTATTTTGTCTTTTGTCAAACAGATTCCCGCCGGGTTCTATAATTAGCAAATATGGTTTAACGTTAATTGGACGGGTTGGTTGGAATCCAAAGAAGAAATAAACAATTTGCATTTTCTTGAGAAGTATACAAGAAAAATTAGATTAAAAACAATTTTATTAAAAGGAGCCATTCCTATATTATTTCTACCAGTAAGAATAATATTGTTACAGTACGACTTCAAATACATTATAAAATTGCAGTATATAAAAAAAAAATGGAGATTATCCTATTATGAACCCAACTGAGTATCTATTCATCAACCAAAAAAATGTATAACCTCACCTAACCAACCGCACCTCACGGTCTCATTAGTATATATTTATAGCATCACGTTATTTTCTGTAAGGGGTTGAGCGAAGCCTCGAATTATATACCCAAGTCACAATGATAAAACTTTTAATGTAGTTAGATATAGATATTTAGTAATGTTCCTGAAGCGCCGCTAGATGCCCGCGCATAAGACGCGTAGTTCACTTTGCCAGGATAGTATAAATACCATAGTATTTGATATTCACAACACCCGATGCCCGATTTATGCTTGGTGCCCGACGACAGTGTGTCGAGGGCTAAATAGCGTGGTTCACCCGCACAAGTACTATTTGTTTGATGCACTTTGATTCATCCCAATTTCAATGTTTGCCTAGCAAATGTCGCAAAATAGTCTTTAATGCTTTACCAACATTACTGCTAACTGATGCTGTAAGTGTTATTCATGTTATGTACTTGTAAAATTTGGGATTGTTTTTGAGGCAACTCACTTCCACCAATTTTGGTTTTGGTACTTAAAGCCTTTTTTAATTCTGGTGTTCACGTATGCCCATGCAAAATTACAGGTCTTTAGACTACCAACAGTCTCTACGCTAAGCTGTGGTCAGATGGACAGAAATGACGCACTTGCTGAAACTTTCATTGTTGTTTTACTACGGAACCCTAAAAATATTTGTTGCGCTGACCAAGCTAAAGAGTTTAGATGATTTTGATTGTTTGAGTGCGTTTTGCTTATGCTTGTTTTTTCGTTTAGGGAAACTATCGATATATAATATCGATATGGTAGCATCGTAATTAATTCGTCTGTCTAACACTCATAACTTTTTCTATGTTGATGAATTTAATCTATAAGTGTGCGTAAAATGTAACAGTATTGGAGATTTAGATTTGTGTGTGCCATAATGACACAAAATTTTATTGAGTAGGTGTGCAGTACTGTCTATGTAGTGTGTTCCTGTATAGGACAGTTACTATACTCTTTGGTAACACAAAAATGACAGACTTTTTTGTTCGTAGCATTAGTCTACGTTTTAGAGGGATTATGTACAATCTCTCTCTACGGTTTTAACCAAGTCGTGACCTAAAGCAAAGCGAAAGCAAAGATAATATATTAATTTAAAACGAACTGATTGAAATTGCCCCAATTGCTCTACACACGCGACAGCGGCAGGGCCGATCTAGGGAGCAAGGAAGGTCTTGCGCTCCTGCCGCCCTGCCGCAGGGCGACTTACAAAATTGCCCTTGCTTGCCTACAAACATAACAATTAAGGGTCATCTCCACTCCTGCACCCTAGATTGCCCCTGCGGCAGGCATGTCAGTAGAAGTTCTAGCCACCTTTAATGTACTACCTTTTATTAAACTGGCTTTACGGCTCTGGGTTCTAGCCCTTCTGAGCCTGATATACTACCTATGGTTCTATGGTTCATAGATTATAACCTTCTATAAAGTACGAACGCGAACGATTCGTACCACCCCCCCCCCCGTTCAAAAATTTACTAAAACCAAATGTGTTAAATGTCGATTGAGTGATTTTTTTTCAACAAATTTGGTTTTATCTACTTTTTGCGTTTATCATTGCATTTAATGCATTTTTAGCGATGGTGCAATTATACTCAAGCAAGGTGCACTTTTTATATTGTTAAAAGTACCCATTTCTAATTATTGGAAGTAATATCGACGTTATAAGGTAAACGAATTTAACTAATTTTTATTTCTAAACTACATGGGAGCAGTTTAAATAATTAATATTTTTGAGATGTGCTATTTAAAATACGATCGCCAGTATTTTTTTATATATATACTCCAAAATCAAAGTCTGTGGCGGAAGGAGGGGCGGGGGGAGGGGGGAATGTACGATTCGTTCGTGATTTCTTGATTCGTGTTCGTCATAGACAGTCATAGATAAGGTAAATAAGGTAATATAATCGGGAGGTGTTCGTCGTTTGTATGAAGTAAAGTATGTAGTATTTACTTAGAAAAAATATATTGTGACTCATATCTTAGGAATAGGCTTTTAGATAAACTATGTCTAAAAATATTGTTTTTGAGGGTTGGTTGACTAAATCGCCTCCCACTAAACGAATCTGGAGAACGGTATGAAACATTTCTTTATTATTTTCTTTGTTGACATTTTGTACTTTCCTTTTTGTGTTCATGGTTAATTTACTTGCAATGAATTTATTATACTATAAGCATAAATGGGTTGTTATCATTTGATATTTTTCTGATTTATCAACTATACTGAATAAATAAATACATGGTGTTCTGTAGAAATGGCGAAGAAGGTGGTTTGCCTTGCGTCAATCGGGCGAACTCCCTGGCCAATATTTCCTCGACTACTATGCAGACCGGAATTGCAGGCGACTCAAGGGCACTATCAACTTAGATTTATGTGAACAGGTATTTTTTATTTAATAAAACTGATACGTTTTAAATCTATTGTTTTAATATTAATAGTGATAATATTTCTGTGTAAAATTATATTAAAAAATCCTAATAGATTTTCAGTACATTGGTATTTATATTCGGAGCTCAAAGCTTATTGTTGACTTAAGAAGAGTAAGGGTAAATTTTATTTTATTTATTAATTTCATTTACATTACCCAATTTTGCTTGTGATAGGTTGATGCAGGATTGCATATGGAACGTAACAGTAATGGCTCTCTGGATCCAAAACTGCGGGGTTCTGTCTTTACGATTCAGACTCAATCACGGACATATCACTTGGAGGCAGATTGTGAAGCAGATATGGCCAAGTGGGTCGATGCTATATGCCGAGTGTGTGGGTTACAAGCAAAAGATGGCACCTCCAATGTTTTGGGTAAGCTTTTGTAACTTTTACATTTTATTTATTTCTTTAATTTTAGTGTAATACTATGATAAGTTTTTTGGCGAATACTTCTCTGAAATTTATGTCGGTGTTGTGAATAGGTGCAAATGAATTTAATTGACAAGAAATATAGAAAACTTATATTATAAATGATATCTCATGTTAAGCAAAATAAAATTTCAAAATAGTAACTATGAATGTGTTTGCTTTGTTATTTGTTAAGAGAAAGTATTATTAAATAAAGTTTAAAAAGATAATTTTATTTTGAAGTTTATAAATATCCCATTTTAGAATATTAACTAGTTATTATTTAAAACAACTAATAGAAACAAATTATTATGCTAAAAAACCAATTTGATTTGAAAAATGGTAAAAGCAGTTGATTTTGAATGATTTTATTTACTTGAAAGCATTATTTGTCATGGGGTTGTGACGACAACACATGAGCGACACCATTGAACACACATATAAAGAGAGAGAAAGCAACTTTAAGTAATACTTATATTGATGATGATTTATATGGTTAAGGCTGAGACTTTTTAGTTCTGAGAGGGTTTTTGAAATACTTTTTTAAACTAATAAATATAAATTGTCTTGTGCTAGCGCTTGCCTAATAACTAAACCAGCATAACAATTTAATAAAATAAAATATATCTATACATACCTGATTTATTTACGTTAAATAAATTGAAATAAAATTTACAAGGAACTAATCACATTAAAATTTGCTGGCTGTGCGTGTTGGTTGAAAAAACTCATAAAGTATTTTTATGTATAATTTACTCGACAATGTACTCGACAAAAGTACTCGACAATGGTGATATTGGCACATCGAATCCAGATTGCTTGCTTATTACAAAATTTATAGTATGTGGACATTTTCATTACCTGTGTACACTGTACATATATTTTTATTTGTAATTACACAATATTTGCTGGCAAGCCAACATATTTTAGCAAAAGGACAATTCCTTTTTAAATATTAACATTTTGTTTCCTGTTTTATGCTAAGCTGTATGCGGGTTATATTACAGAGTATTAATGTGTATCAAACAGTGGTTGTATGCTTTAAATGAAAATGCTGTGGTTATATAGCCTGTGCGAAAGCTCAAATACTGCCTCTGAACTTTTTACAGTCTTAGTCTAGTCTAGTCTAGTCTAGTCTCTATAAAAATTAAAACTTTTATTCATAAGTGTCAATGTACTTGGTAGAATAACATGAGTAAAGAAACTGACCAGAGACAAAGCTTTATACAATAGCACTATGATAGGTACACTACTATAAGCTTAATGCATGTGTATGTATAAGTTAATTGTACATGATGATATTGGCACATCGAATCTAGGTGTCTTGCTTATTACAAAATTTATAGTATGTGGACATTTTCATTACCTGTGCACATTGTACATATATTTTTATTTGTAATTACACAATATTTGCTGGCAAGGCAACATAAATATCAACATAATTGCCTTGCCAGCAAATAATGCTAAAATAGCAAAAGGACAATTCCTTTTTACATATTAACATTTTGTTCGCTGTTTTATGCTAAGCTGTATGCGGGTTATATTAAAGAGTATCAATGTGTATCAAACGGTGGTTGTATGCTTCCGCTCAAAACAATAACAATCCGGGCAAACTGAGCAACAAGATCAAGGCGACCCCTGCCACGCCATCCGTGAATTTCTGCTATATCAGGGGACTTCACTCAAACCTAAACGCCGTCCACTACCATTTCGTGAAGGCGAAGCCAGCCTTGCTCTTTCTGACCGAGGCGCAGGTGTCCTCCCCGGCTGATACTTCGTATCTCTCCTACCCGGGGTACAAATTGGAACACTCCTTTGTGTCTCGGAGTTTGCGTATACATCAGGGAGGACATCTGTTCTCGACGCCTCGGTAGTCTTGAAGGGTCGCACCTGCCCATCCTTTGGCTACGCGTAGATAGCAACGACCATCCGCGCGTCTACGGGTGCTATAGGTCCCATAGCAGTAATGCCGAAACAGACCGACTCATCGACCATGTCAAAATGGCTTCAGATATCTTGCTACAACAGGTCCAATCCGCAGAGATCGTGCTCCTTGGAGATTTCAACGCCCACCTCGTCGAATGTCTCGGTTCACGTTTAACCGATCATGCGTGGAGATCTATTTATGACTTTGCCTTGGCATATGGTCTGACACAACTGGTTACTTCGCCCACGCGGACTCCAGATGTGGAGGATCATACACCTTCCCTGTTGGACCTTCTGCTGACCTATCATCCGGATGTATATCAGGTTTCCGTCGATGCCCCCCCTCAGCTCTTCGGACCATTGTCTGATCCGGGGTGTGGTGTCACTTACGCCCCCCTCGCGGTTGTGTTCTGTATGTTGCGGCCGTGTTTGGCATTACAGGTCGGTGGATTGGGATGGAATGCGGTCTTTCTTTGCATCCTACCCATGAGGGCGGGTTTGCTTGTCGCCGGATGATCCCAGCGCTGTTGCTAACTCTGTCGCTGATGTGGTGCTACAGGGAATGGAACTATTTATTCCATCATCTGTGATTTGGTCGCTCCTGTAAGACTGCATTACGCAGTAAGCAGGAGTGTTATCAGGCCTGGGCTGGGGCTTCGGCGACTGGGGATGTAAACACCAGCATGCTTAAAAAGAAGTATAAGTTTGCCTCCAGGTCCTTCAAAAGAGTTATTGCCAAGGCAAAGTAGCACATAGGCAGAATTGGCGAGAAACTAGTTCGCCTTCCTTCGGGAACCCGTGCATTCTGGTCTCTCGCCAAGGCTGTCCAAGGGAATTTCTGTAAGCCATCACTACCATCTCTGCACAGGAAGGACGGCTCACTGACCCAAGCCGCAAAAGAGAAAGCCGCAAAATTAACGCTGGTGACACCAGCGTTAATAGGTAAATTTAGCGAATGAAAACAATCGCCTTGGGGAGATTCTTTTCATTCGCTAAATTTCACGAACGAACATCGCGTCAAGATTTACGATACCATCCTCACCATCTGGATGCTTGGCGGTCCACAACTGTGCGTTTTACTAGGTGTTTTCTTCCTCGTACAATTTCTCTGTGGAATCGATTACCACCAGCGATTTTTCCGGACCGATACGACTTAGGGACCTTCAAGAAAAGAGCCTACTCCTTTTTAAAAGCCGGCAACACATCTGCGATTCACCTGGTTCCCCAGGTAATGCAGTTGTTCATGGGCGGTAGTCACTCACCATCAGGTGAGCCGCACGCTCGTTTGCACCTCTTCTATAAAAAAAAAAACGATTATTTTGATTAACTTCCCTCTGAAAATGTATAATTTTAAAAAGTAGGAAGTTATAGATTTCGGTCCGATTTTGAGAATGCGAGTTTCATCAGATCGCCACGTTTTGAGATCTTAGGAAGTCGTTCCAACTATTTTCGACTGGAAGTCCGGCTGTGTGTATGTATGTATGTAAATAAAATTTTGTTTTACGATATCTTTAGAACGAATCAACCGATCGAGATGGGTGTTTGAAAGCGTTTATTGAGACTTCGAGCTGATTTTCAGATATAGATTTTCAAGTCAATCGGTCAAGCCTTTTCAAAGATATGCAAAAAATAAAAAACACAAATTAAATAGATTTTCGAGCGTTGCGCTCGAAAATAAGCGAGAAGTTCCAGGGATGGCCTGCAGGGTCAACTGTATTTTTAATGTGGTAGATAAATATCCCATACATCAACAAATTTAGCATTAGTTGAATTACAAAAATTTCGCAGAATATTTTGATTTCGAAATAATAATTGTGATAGTGATATATAACAACATGTGCAAGCTTGTATATGCCATGTGACTGCTTTGTATTAGATTATTTAAAAACGAAACTTTATATTACCTTTAAAATTTACCATATAACTAAAAAGCACAACAAATTATTCTAAAATAAAATATTTAGAGTGAGCAGTTTGTAAAAAAAAATCTATCATAAGTACATAATAAAAAGTTGATAAACATTTGTTTATTTAATATTATCCTCCTCTGTCACCCTACCCAAATAAGTTAAAAATTTCGATAGCTCCTTAGAAGCTTTGCCTCTGTATGGTTTCTTTTTACTCATGTGGTAGAACTTAGAATTCTAACTTTTTAACATAGCTATTTTATTAAGAGCTTTAAAGCATTTTTGTAGTTATACATAAAATAATATTTTTATCAATATATGACATATCACCATTACAGGACATCACTTGTCCCATGAACATAGAACTTATCTGGAGGTTGCCACTAATATATTTCACATGCATCTATTTATTAACTGCAGTTTCTAGTACAAGAAGGGTATTTTCTAAAAATAGTTTTTTTGTACATATTATGTTTGCAGAGGAGAATAAATTTATTCAAAGGGATTCAATTAAGGTCTAATTAATATATGTAAGTGGCAAAGGAGAATATTAGCATGCTGCTCCCGCAGTTATTGATTTTTATTTGAAAGCTCTATGCCCAGATACGGAGACCACTGCTGGCTTTCAAAGTAGATAGGATTTACAATAATTGCCACCCTTGGCAGAGAGAATAGTGAAAGCAGTACTACACTTGAACAAATTGACAACTTTTTTGATTTTTTGAGCATTGCCCTAAGCTGCATCTTATTTTACCTACAAAAGGGTCTTATGCTACCACAACATCAACATGTTAATAATTCATGTATTTAGGTCTTCTGGATAATTGCACTAACTAACCCTCAGCAACTTACATTTCCTTGTGATTGGTTAATTCAAGTTGTCATTTTTGTTGTTGTTTTTGTTACTTTGTCGCATAGCATTAGATTTTCTGGCGTTTTCTGTATTTGATTCCTGAGCGGACATAGAGACAAAGTCGGTGATAAATATGCATTCTTAAAACTAATTACTGGTGAAGATATTGTACCTAATATTTAAAATGAACATTTAGTACATGTCTTATAAAAAAACATTTTTTCAGGTCCCTTTCAAAATAACTTTCAAATGACTACAATGAATGAACAGTATGAATGCGTGGACAGCACTGGCCCATACATACCAATATCTGAATGCATTACTGGAGTTAGGGCGCAGGTAACGAAACAACTGTTGTTGACATAATATTTAATATAATATATCAAGTGCATGGTGAGGGCTGACAACTAATTTCTTAAAAATAAATAGATAATGTTCATCATGCATTAATTCCTTCATAACAACCTCTAAAAGACCACTGCTGAACTTGGCCTCATGGACTATCTCAAAAGGGGATATTTGCATATAATTTTGATGGTTTGGCAATCATAATTTTTTTATTTTCCAGTTATTAGAAAGACGCTGCGGTCTATCTCCTGGCTTGTTTGCCTCTGTTGCCTCTTATGACACCTACGGGACGATATTGCTGGTAGAGAAATGCTTACGCTAATCTGTGAAAAAGATAATGTTGGAAACAACTAAATATGTTATAATTATAAATGTTATAGTTCCTTATGAATGTTTTCTTTCAGGATTCCCAGAGAGCTTTTACATTTGATCCAAAAAACATAGTAATGAGTACTCGCACACCATTGGAGAGAGTTTCAAATAGAAGTCATCAGATGTACATGAGTCAGCCACACATAAGGCTCAATAACGCAGAGTTCTCTGAAAATGAGTCAAACCTGAGCGATGAGGAGTGCAAATCTTTGAATGCTAGTCAATCTAATATAAGTATGTTCTTCATATTTTCAGAATATTTTAATCGGTATTAAGTTTTGATTCATATGAGAAAGAGAAAGACAGATTTTTTAGACATATTAACCTCTTTTTAGAAATATGTAGTGTTGATTAATAAAAAAATAGTTATGTCATATTAAATTCAAACAATTTTGACCTTCACAGTTTTGTTGTATATATGTATGTTTTTTTTATAGAAGAGGGGGCAAACGAGCGTGCGGCTCACCTGATACTTATCATCAGCTACCTACCGCTACCGCCGCGCATTAACAACTGCTACACCAAGAGATTTGCGGATGCGTTGCCCGCCTTTTAAAAAGGAGTACGCTCTATTCTTGAAGGTCCCTATGTCGTATCGGTCCGGAAAAATAGCTGGTGGTAATCGATTTCATAAGCAAGTTGTGCAAGGAAGAAAACTTCTAAATCGCACAGTGGTGGATCACCAATCACCCAGATGGTATCGATGGTATCGCGAGTTTTGTCGTGATGTGCGTTGGTGAAATTGAGCGGCTGGAATTAGTCCGAACAATTCCTCAGAGCACTCCCCGTGGTAGATGCGATAAAATACGCAAAGAGATGCAACATCTCTACGCAGTGCCAGTGAGTCAAGCAGATCGGAAAGAAATCTGTCGTCGGCGATTCGAATCGCTCTGCGCTGGATGCGGTCAAGTGGAAGGATCTGGCACTGGGGAGCCCCTGCCCAGAGATGGAAACAGTATTCTGTCCCGCTATACTGAGCACGCCAAGGTTTTTAGAGGTCAATTTGGCCTTCTCTTCCAAGTGACTACGAAACTGCACATCACTCGATATGTCGATACCGAGGATTCCGATACTGGCTGAGGCAACAATTGGAGTGGCTTGAAACTGAGGAGATACGACAAATGGGTACTTTTTAGCGGTAAATGCGCAAACTTGTGTCTTCTAGGGATTGATTTAGTCGTTAGGGATTGAGTTAGTCGGATTTATTCGTTCCCAGTCCGAGACTTTGTTCAACAAAGTCTCGACTTCAGACACAAGTTTGTTCCGGTACTCGGCGACGTTTTCCCGAGAAATATTGGCACGGCCGGTGTATAAAGAATTACCAGTGCTGTCGTCTGCATAGCAATGTATGTTACCAGTTTGCAACCTAGCATTTATATGCAGAAGAAACAGCGTTGGTGATAGCACGCAGCCTTGTGGAACACCAGCGTTAATGGTCTTGTAATCGGAGCATGCACCGTCTACTACAACCTTGATGCTCCCGATCTGCAAGAAAACTGCTGATCCAATTGCACAATATCTCAGGAAGCCCATAGGAAGGAAGCTTTAAAAGAAGCGCTTTGTACCGACTTTGTTGTTTGAACCCGACCGAAGACCTCCGCCATGTCCAAAGTAACGGCCGACGCCTGCACTTGGACTACACTGCCTCCGCCAATCTATGAGTTAGGTAACTTAGAAGATCACCACCTGAACGACCTCGACGGAAACCGTACTGGCGGTCACTAATCAGCTGGTTATCCTCAAGGTACCGCTTGAGCTGGCAATTAATAATAGTTACCATTTAATTGGAGAACAAGGAGGTTATAGCAATGTGCCTGTATATGGACGGATCTGGGCGGTCGCCTTTTATTTTAATTTCCGCTTTCAGGAGACTGGTCTGCTGCAAAATCATTTACAAAATCAGCTTTACGTTCTAGTAAGAATGGCGACTTTCAACATGGTATGCAATTATTGAATACTTTCTGTTATATTAAGACATTGCTCAAGATAATAACTGTGTCACCTTATTACAGGGCCACCTGTCCCTCCGCGGCCACCTAAGACATTTGCACTGAGTAAAGAGGCATCACAAAGGGACACATTCCTTGGCTCTAAAGTTCACGAACCAGCTGATGGACAGGATAATTCCGTAAGTTGTTATTTAAAAACATTTTACTGTACATATGTGTGTTTTATGTATATTTTCAATTTGTCATAATATTTACATAAACTCGTTAACTTTGTAAGGTTTGAAATAAGTTTTAACAATTACGTATAATTTGCAACTAGAACTATGATCTACGTCATACCTTTTTAAAACAGTGATAAAATGCAAAAAGTATTAAGATTCAGGTTTTCTGAAAATCAGAATAGAATAAAAATTTTAGAAGAATTTTAGAAAACGCCCATATTAAGGGCTTTTTAGGTGCTAATTAGGTACCAAGTTTAAAAATTAGTTGCTACAAAATTTTCACCGCAACATACTTTAAATTTGCGTTGCTGTCAAAACGTATCGCTAGCAACGCAGTATAACGATATTAGGCGCCTTGTCATTGCCTATACTTGCAGCACCTAATTAGCACTTAATTCCTTGCTATTATTATTTATCGTATATCTAATAACTTAATTGCGTTGCTAGTAAATTGCTGACTGCGTTGCAAGCCAGACACAGCTGATTTTAGCGTAATTACTAATCTATAAATGAACTGATTAAAAATGATTCGTATGCAATTATTGCGAAACTTCTTATTCATATTATTTTAATTTAAATAAAGAGGTTGTTTTTACATATGTTATGTAGCTTTACAGTTTTGACTATCATAGTTTGATCTAATAATAATTTAATCTAATAACACTTAAATATAGTGCTTATATAAAATAATATTTAGTAAATGATAAAATAAATTAAAGAATGCTATTCTGAATACTTATTCCTGCAGCATCAATATTGTCAGACTCAAAATATCCAGACCGGTGGCCATATCAAGATGATTTTGCCACCGGTCTGGATATTTTAAGTGTCTAATAATTGCCACATGCAAAATCACGGGGCAATTGCGTTAAATCATCTTGATAATACTGGATACTGTGTACACAAGATTGTGATTAAGAGAGAAGCTCTTTAGTTGAATATTTTAGGTGTCTAACGGCATAGTAATATTTTGCCATCTTTTGATGGCAGGTTATCCAGTTTTGGTACTAGAAACTCAAGTACACTGTTTTAGATTTTTAACTCAATTTCATGGAATAGTTCGTGGCATTGGATGACTGATTACTAGGTACCTAGTACCAGCACCCCTGGTGACGGAGAATGAAATTTCGCTTGCGACTAAAACTGCAAGCGGAGCAATAAGACCAAGGCGACCCCTGTCACGCTATCCGTGAATTTTGCAACATCAAGGAACTTCATTCCATCCTTAACGATGTTCATCTGGAGACGGCGGAGCCAGCCTTGCTACTTTTAACCGAGACTCAGGTGTCCTCTCCGGCTAATACTTCATATATATATTCTCCCTTTAAAGGATACAACATCACAATATTGGAACCCATGACTCATTGATTGATCTAATTTTTGCTGCTTCTCCTGATAATGCACCGACGGTTACCTGCTTTGGGTATCTCACGTTTTGACTTGATTTATGCTTCCTATAAGCTTAAACCTCTTAAATATTCCTCTTCTATACTTCATCCGCGCAGTTTTTCTAAAATAGACTTTGTCAAACTAAATAACGACGCTCTCAAACTCGATCTAGCCTCATTTATTGCAGCACCCACGGTTGAAGATAATGTCTCCATTCTTAACCATAATTTTCTCAGCCTTTATGATGCTCATACGTCAGTTAACAAGGTTGGATTCAAGCGTCCCCCAGCCCCATGGATGACAGAGGGCGTACGGTTGGCAAAGTCTAGACAAAATATTTAAGATATTAAGTGAACATAATGACGTTGAGGAGTTTGACAAATTGTTTATTCGTAATGAAAATACTCACGTCAGGGGCCTCCATCTTAAGCTATGTACCAGCTTTTCAATGTGAAAATGTGAACCAATTCATAAATATATTAGATAATCGTTTTCTGAACTGTAAAAGGAGTAACTAATTCACACAATCAGGATACAGGCATTATCAGTTGTCCCAACTGACTGCCTGCTCATATATAATAATAATAAATCGTGATAATAACTATAAAGCGTAAAATTCAAAACAGCCTAGAGTGAATGCTATACGAGACGAGAATGGCTGCATGCTGATTAATGAAGTTTCGAATTTAAAAAGATGGAAGGAATACTTTGAAAGCGCGTTTAAGAGTGAAGAGTCGTCTGAATTAAGTGTAATAGAAATTCCGAGAGAAATGGAGAGAGGTAGGGAGATAAGTGTAGATGAAATAATGAAAGCAATGAAAAGCATGACAGCACGTAAGGCAGCCGGATATGATAGAATATCACTCGAAATGCTAAGAGCTGGAGAGGGTGTAGTTGCAGGCCTGCTGTACACCTTGTTTAATTTATGTTGGGAACTGACGCTGGTACCGGAAGACTGGTGCAAAGCCGTTATAGTCCCAATATATAAGGGAAAGGGGTCACAGCAGGACTAAAAACTACCGTGGTATCAGCTTGCTTAGCATTGTGGGTAAACTGTATGCTAAGGTGTTAATTGAAAGAGTTATGGAAGAAACTGATGGAAAAATTTGGGATGTGCAAGCTGGATTTAGAAAGGGGATGGGGTGTACTGATCAAGTCTTTTCCATGCGCATGATTGCGGAGAAATTTTTGGCCGAAAACCAGAAAGTTTTTTGTGCGTTCATGGACTTGGAAAAGGCTTATGACAGAGTGGACAGGAACGTGTTGTGGTCAACACTGAACTAATTTGGGTTGAGTGCTGGTTTGATACAGGCATTAAGGTCTCCTTATAGGGACTCTAGTGCTTGTATCAGGATCAACGGGGTCTACTCGGACTGGTTTGACATTCAAATAGGTGTCAGACAGGGCTGTGTAGCTTCCCTGTGGCTGTTTTTTAACCTATTTATGGAAAGCTGTTTGCAAACTTTGAAAGTTGAAGAATGTGGGTTGAGAATGGGTGAGTTAACCGTCAAATGCCTTTTGTACGCCGATGATCAAGTCATATTTGCATCGTTGGCGGCCGAGTTGCAAATGATGGTTACTTTAATGAACTGGTCATTAAAAGAAAGGTGTATGAAAGTGAACGCAAGTAAGACGAAAGTGATGGTTTTTGAAAGAGAAGAAAGTAAAACGTTATGTGAAATAAGAATAGAAGGGGAGTTGATTAAGCAAGTGGATGAGTTTGTATATTTGGGATGTTTATTTAGCAGGAATGGTAGATATAATAAGGGTATAGAACGACTAGTGAACGCAGGAAATAGAATGGGCTCTACACGCTATTATGAAGAGTCGGAATGTGTCAAAGAAGGCACGTATGGCAATTCAAAATGCTGTGTTAGTCCCTACTTTAATGTATGTTAGTGAAAGTTGGGTCTGGCAGAAGAAGCATGAGAGTAGAATAAATGCTGTAGAAATGCGGTCATTAAGGAGTATGCTAGAGCTGAATCTGAATGACAGGGTGAGAAATAGTGTGATAAGAGAAAAGTGTGGTTTGCAAGATGACGTTGTGACCAGGATTAAGAAAGGAATGTTTCGGTGGTTTGGTCATGTAGAAAGAATGAACGAGGAAAGAGTGACAAAGGCGAAAGGCAAAAGAACGGCAGAGTCGGGAAGGGACGCCCTAGACGAAGATTCATCGACCAAATCGGCGTTACATTAAAAATGGGCCAGATTAGGAGTACCCTTAACCGATTAGCGTGTATGCGTAGATATATGGATGTAAAGGAGGCGAGAGAGGTGTGTCAGAATCGCGTCAAATGGAAGTCCTGTCTCTGTTGTTGTGTTGTGTAATAAATCGTGCTTTTCTCTGTTTCAAGAGATAACGTACTGAGGGAAAAAGGTTGTCATATGGTACATGCAGCTAAACGCAGATATTTCTATAATTGTATTAATAACTGCTCGTGTGTTGAATTGTGGTCCTTCTCTATCACTTGATGAAATCAACCAACATTTCGCTTTTGTAAAAGCAATGGACCCTTACAATTCGCTCCCAAACTGAGTTTTCCATTGGTTCTGTGCAAATTCCTAACATACCTTTAATTTCGCTCCTGTTTCTCAGGAGGATCTTAATAAGTCTATTTTAGCAGTTGAGTCGCAGGTGTTGGGTTATGATGAGATTAGTAGACACATATTAGTATTTATTCTAGAGTACCTTCTTCCGGCAATTTCCCATATTAGAAATTTTCCCTTGATTCTGGTCAGCATCCTAATCTTAGGAAAGGGAATTTTATAAAGCCCCTCCCAAAAGTTCCTACTCCCATTCTTCCGAATCATTTTCGCCCAATATCCATTCTACCCATTCTTTAGAAAATTTTAGAATCCCGATGTCAAGAAGTTAGCGGCGTTTCACTCCCGTGCCTCGTAAATGTCGTAAACACGTTGGCCCTATGCCTGACCTCTCTTCGGTCGTGTCGAATTGCCTTCCCATCGGACTGTGAGAGTGAGCGAATAGAGAGTGCACCTGCGCTTGAGCACACTCTCGGTGGCATAATTCTATCTTGCGCTAGTCTAGTTAGACTAGTCTCCTTTGAAACTGGCCGCCATTGTACGAAAATTTGGTTTAAAGTATTATTAAAAAATCAAATTTATGGTTTAGTTACATAAAATCTAGTAGTCAACAGAGAATTGGTATGACTAGTTTAGCTTATGCAAAATTCATAGACTTCATGCTATTCTTAGAAGTCGCCGATGACATCCGTCATACAGTAAGTATGTATTGTTATATTGTAGTTTTGCATGCATGAATATACATATTTGATCTCATGATCTTGTACCTAACACTCAGATCTGCTCCATTATATAATAAAAATTCACTTCAGTTGCATTCTTTATTCATTAATTCTTTCCAATATAAATAAAATGATAGATATTTGCAGTTGTGCGCGCATCATAAAAAACTACTGAATAGATTGCAATTAGGTTTTCTAAGTTTTATTTCTTAGACACTTAGCCCTTATCTAAAAAAAAATATTGCGAAAATTTCATTTAGTATAAAGTTATTAAAGTGTAAAGAAACAACGTTTTTTATAAGCACTACGTGTTCATTTTGCAGGATTTATTTTTGTTACACATTAATTAATTAAAATTTGACCTGTGACGCGTCGGCCATAGAGGTGCTGTAAGGGTGCAAGAAATATCAGACATGATATTTTTTCACAAATATTTCCGAGTTTTTAGTAACTTAGGGACTTAAAAAAATATAAATGACAAATTAACCAAAACTATATCTTATTTGTCTTACTACATAGCACATTCGTTAAACGTATACGAGTATTAAAATGACGTATTTTTTCAAGAAATTGCGTAAATAATTACTCTATTAGCACTTATTCTTTATCGGTTTTTCAAATTATTACGTGAAGTTATTTGCAAAATATCATAATATCGTTAATCTCGTTTTCCAACTCAGAATGGTTTTTGCTTAGATTAACTTAGGGTTACTAAATTTTACCATAAACTTACATTTATTCAGGTATTTCCAAGTCTGAGGGTGCCTTGCCGCATTTACCAAAGCGCTGGGCCACCTTCGCCGGGTCGTGCTCAAGGCGTTCCCAGTATTGTACGGACCACTGACGACGAAGACGAATGTTCCGGTCAATCGGTAAGTCCAAAGTAAATTTCAGAATGAAATACGATTAAGTAAAATTTTATTAAATGTATTAATGGTATTTATGGATCTTCATATTGAAGTGACAAACCCACCTTCAACAGGTGCTTGCGTGAAATATATGGATTGCCTAATCCAAAGCAATGTAAATTATATGATCAAAATAAATAATAGCTCGAAGAACCGACAACCGATGGAAAAGAAAGGTGTGAGAGTGGTAGGATCGTACCAGCAGGCGAAGTGTAGGTCGTCCCCCACTAGGTGGAGATTCGCCCATGTGGTAAAACATGCGGAAAGTCGATGAATGCAGGTGGCTCAGGATTGTGCTTTTTGGTCTTGGGGGAGGCCTATGTTCAACAGTGACGAACTTTATGCGAACGTGAAGCGAAGAGGTTAGGCTTTATAGTCGAATTTCCAAGGTCACGCTACTCTCTCACATTAAATCGGGTTTATTATTTTTATACTGAACACACACGTGAAGAAAAACAGATTAATAGTACTAGGATACAATAATAAACGTTTTGCGATACATATTAAAAAAAAAGCCAATGTATTTTTTATTGTCACTGCCAGTTACTCTGTGTTAAAAATTAGTATTTCTCGAGGAGGACTTAACGAAATGACTTTTGTCACTATTTTCAGAATCATACAGATTTGGTTTCTTTCGAAAATGACTCCTGTACTCTTTCTCGATGTTCAATATTTCAATATATCATATATCATTATTATTAAAAAGGACAGTTTTATATGTAAACAAACACTCATTGTCAAGTGGTAATCAGTCGAGTAGACCAAAGATTGTTTCCCATTTTCAATTATTTTTCTTTTATAATTCTCCATTTATTCTTGGACTGAGTGACTATTTCGTAAGTGTACAATATTGACATTAAAATAATACTTACTGTTTTGTCAGTTGGTCTGTGGGAATACGTTTTAACCCTTACGAGTAACTGAAGAGTTTCCACTTATCCTTTTTACCATGTAAAGGGTAAGAAATTATTAAAACTATTGTTTACGAGATATTAATGAAAGTCGATGATCTTTTTGAGAATAGTTTTCTGAATATCTACTATTTATGGCATAACAATTGTTGTAAAAATGGTAAAAGTAGGCATGGTAAATGGAGGTATGCACTTTTGGATTTTCCAAATATTTTTTATCTTATGGCTTATAGCCAGTGCTTGAGAGTAAGAGATTGCTATGAAAAATCGCAAAATTCGTGTAAATTTTTTTACAGAATACTTTCAGTAAGCTTCCAGTCTAACACCCCGTAAGTTAAAATGTTTCATACAAACTGTAACTGTAACACCCCATTTCACATTTAGGGGTTTAATTTACGTAAATCTCTTTTTAGTATATGACTGAATCATAAAATACAGCTATTGTCCAAAGTTTAGTTTCTAATCGGTTTGGGCTGTGCGTTGATAGATGAGATAGTCACTCAGGACTATGGCAACTACAGCCTAACTAGGAGACCTGTACGTCAGCTGTCAGCGCCATATCCCCACGGTTAATCGAAATAAATATTAGAATGCAAGCAAAAATTAATTAATCAAATATCATCTAAAGTGTTTTTACTTTATGCTAACATAACCTAAGTGATTGATTGATGAAACGATGGCGTGATATTTAACTTATATATTACCAAGAGTACATTGCATATATAATATCATCCTAAACATCATTACAGCCCATTGCAAGTCTACTGCTGAACGTAGGCTTCCCCCAAGGAGTCGTCCATCTAGTGGGAGACCGCACTTTGATAACCGACACAAGGCTGTCATTCGAGAGCCTTTCTTCCACATCGGTTGGCGGTTCTTCGAGCTATATGACCGGCCAATTGTTACTTAAGCTCATTAACCCGTTCGGTGTCTCTCTAACTACTACGGGCATCCTCAAGTCTATCATGCAAAGAAACTCCGAGCATAACCCTCTTCCTAGTTCACTGCTTTATATAATATAAGTTGCTCGCATTATATAACATACAAAAGTTAAAACGGCTACAAAATTATACAACTCCATTGATGGAGTGTGTCTGTGACCTTTCGCCGTTGTATCCATTTGTGATTGAGGAATAAGATAAGTTTGTGCTGTTACCTTTCAATACTATGATGACTATTTTACAATACAGTACAATACTCTTTATTGTACACCAAGGAAAGATAAATATAACAAAAATAAATAAATATTGAGGGAAAACAAAAGGCGGTGTTATTGCTACATAGCAATGTCTTCCAGACAACACAGAAAAAATAATTAAATAAAAATAAGAGAAAGATTAACGGACGGTCCACTAAAATAAGAAAGAAAACCGACTTATGCACTAAAAAGACAACATACTTTAGGTAAATCAAGTAATATTATTTTAATATAATATAAAGTAATACTTATTACTTATCGTTACCAAACATACATTACATATCGTTAACTGCTTTTTAATAATGTTATGTGTAAACACATTTAAATCTAATTTTTAAAACAGTATTTACAACATCAGATCATAAAAAAGAAGGAAATAGGCACCTTGAGATTTTTAATAATTTCGTTATTGTTTTTTTTTCTTTGTTATTAAAGTTTACCTTTGTTTTAGTCAATGCAGTACTGCAACTTATTATCGCTACCACCAGCTGTGGACCGCGCTTTGAAGCCGCGTCACTCCAGTCATAGCATAGGACACGTGAATAATCTAGGGGCTCAGGTAAAAACATGTACTTTTGTTTCTTATTAATGATAATTTATAATATTAAACATGCTTAACTCTTATAATCAGATAAAGATTTAGATTATAATAGAATAAAAACTACACATACGATATCACCTGAGTAACATATTAAATTTGATGGCAATCCAATGAGAATGGCAGTACAATCTTAACGCTTAAAGCGATTTCTTCCAGATACCATTTTATAGACAGGATTTAAATAGATCGTAAATCCAAGTCAATATAAGAAAACCAAGAGAGTTGTTTATTATATGTAGTTATATATTCAAGTCAGAGTATTGACCGCAATTGGGTCAGAATACGTTTCTTATTGTATTGGAAACTATTTTGGGATTTATGTCACAAGGAAAACTTAGTCGGAATATTTATTGCGAGAGCATTGGAAGCGTTTTGATTCAAATTGCTAGTGCTCAAAGTGGACGGGAACTGAACAACAACTTGCTTCGAATTAGTAGCGCAAGTTTTAAGGATATTGGTTTGGTCTAAGTTCATGAAACTTAGCCGACAACATGGTCTCTTTTTTTCCAAATACCCTTTTTACAGGAAACGAAGCATTTCATCTTAGGTCTTAGGGGTTTTTACAGGAAACGAAGCATTCCATCTTAGTTCTTAGGGGTGACAACGCATCTGCGTTTTGACACTTAATTGAGTGTAGATGTAGATGGCTATGAATCATAGCATCCACCCGACAGCAGGTGGACTGTGTGCTCGTTTATCACCCTTATTCTATAAAAAAAGAAGCTTAGCTGATCAATCATTAAAAGATTGTTACCTTCTGCTATAGTTCATCTAAAGTAAGACTTCAATGAAAACATAGTCATGAAATTATTGTATCGTCGTCGTTTCTTAATACTGTTACGAGCTTGGGGTTCGAGACAACTATAACTGCCGAGTGAATTACCAAAATTAACACTTTAATTACAGAACACTAATTACAATTTAAAGCCACACTAATAATAAAACACAATTGTACTACTGATCACTTTAGTTCGCAGTTATTTCGTTTCAAAGTATTCACTTATATCGCCAATTCAATACTGCTTGGGTCGTGGTCTATACTGGTCTTAATAGGGCCTCAGATAGTTTCCAGCACCTTCTACTGTAGAAACATCCAGTATGTTCGAGTACATATCGGTCCCGAAATTTCTAGAAGGATCTTGACTCTCCTAGTTCTGCTACTCGATACTAGAGGGCGCTGGTTGTAACTAGTGTTGCCATGTACAAGACATTAATAGTGGCGCGCAACAATACGTATGCAAAATTTTAGATTATTCAGACATTTGAACGTTGGTGAAACCTGTATACAAATTTTTAAATACACCCATACATTATGCATACACACAGGTGAAACGAATATAAAGGTGGTAAACAAGTTTATCGAAATAGATGCAAGTACAACTCAGATATTCAGAATCTAATATTAAATTCTGAATATACTACACATTAATAAAAAAATTAAGGATAAAATATTTAGTTTTTTTTTCGAACTCGAATTCCGGGTAAGCTTAAATCAGTTTGAAGTAACGAAGGAGGTTCCCTTGTTTTGTTTTTTTCTTAATTATGTCCCTAAAACTCGCAACTATACAGAACGACCAGTGCGTAGTAGATGGCGTCGCGGGTTCCCTACTTCTCGCTTACACGCACAAACCAACCGCTGACAACAGTTTTAGTTACACGGTGTTTCACCATATCGTCCCGTAGGTGGCGTAAAAGGCGACAGAAGAAATCTCAAATAGGTTATGGGCAGCAGCATCTTGCCGATATCACATTATATTAATAAAAAACCGCTTACCAGGCGGGTGTCAAGCGAGGCAACTATGGCAAAATCTGTCCTATGAGGCAATCTGTGGGGTAGGCCTATTTTCCTCAGTGGACTTTTATAAGCTGCAATGAATGGTATTTTACCCCCGTTGCTCGGAAAGCACGGTTGGTACTGCGCTTGATCTCTCTCCGATCGTGTCAAATTTCCGTCCCATAGGGCTACGAATTTAAGGGAAAAAAAGAAACATATTCAATATATATCACATGTATGCAATTCATAATGAAAACCATTTTTTACTTTACCATTGGTTCGGAATAAATCTCTGTCTTGGGAAAAATTAGCTGGACTTTTATTGAATATAAAAGAAGTCCCGCTGATAGATAGTACACCTGTACTTGCGCACACACTCCTTGCACTATAATTTTGTCCTGCGCAGATGGTTAATCGCCGTTGAGACTGGCTACAATGATTGAAATTCTGTTAATGTATGTATTTATATATGTATATATTGTGTGTCATTGCTCATGGGGGGTATAGCATATATATATATATATATATACGAATCGTCTCGCGCGCAGACTTGACGACTTCCAGCCTCCCGAACAAGCTGGTTTCCGAAAAGGCTTTAGCACCATAGACCACATACATACCCTTCGGCAAATTGTGCAGAAGTCCGAGGAGTACAATTTGCCACTATGTCTGGCGTATGTGGACTATGAGAAAGCCTTTGATTCCGTCGAAATTTGGGCGGTGCTGCAGTCCCTTCAGCGATGCCAAGTTGACTGTCGGTATATCGAAGTGTTGAAGTGCTTGTACAGTAGGGCTACGATGGCTATCCGAGTACAGCACCAGAGTACGAAACCTATCCAATTGCAGAGAGGTGTAAGACAGGGTGACGTCATATCCCCGAAGCTCTTTACCGCTGCATTGGAAGATGTTTTCAAGCTTCTGGACTGGAAAGGATACGGTATCAACATCAATGGCGAGTACATCACTCACCTTCGATTTGCCGACGATATAGTCCTTATGGCAGAATCGCTGGAGGACCTAAGCACTATGCTCAATGACCTCAATAATGTTTCCCAACGGATAGGTCTTAAGATGAACATGGACAAAACAAAGATCATGTTTAATGTCCATGTCACACCTATGCCGGTAGTTGTTGGGAACACTAAGCTCGAAGTTGTTGACGAGTATGTTTACCTGGGACAAATAGTCCGACTAGGTAAGTCCAACTTCGACCGAGAGGTCAATCGACGGATTCAACTCGGTTGGGCAGCGTTCGGGAAATTACGGCACATCTTCTCGTCAGGTATACCTCAAAACTTGAAAACGGGACTGTACACCCAGTGCGTGTTGCCAGTGATGACATACGGAACTGAGACGTGGTCCTTCACTGCTGGCCGGATGAGGAAGCTCAAGGTCGCTCAGCGAGCTATGGAGAGGGCTATGCTCGGAGTTTCTCTGCGTGATAAACTCAGAAATGAGGATATCCGCAGTAGAACTAGAGTGACCGACATAGCCCAACGGATTAGTAAGCTGAAGTGGCAATGGGCCGGCCATATAGCTCGAAGAACCGACAACCGATGGGGAAGAAAGGTTCTCGAGTGGCAGCCTCGTACCGGCAGGCGAAGTGTAGGGTGTCCCCCCACTAGATGGAGTGACGACCTGGTAAGATATGCAGGAAGTCGATGGATGCAGGTGGCTCAGGACCGTGCTTTGTGGCATTCTTTGGGGGAGGCCTATGTTCAGCAGTGGACTTGTGAAGGGCTGTAATGATGATGATGATGATGATGATATTGTGTGTACTTAAGTATATATGTGTATGTATGTGTGTGTGTATAATGTAGTATTATATGTATATACAATATAATTTTTTAGCCGTTTCTATTTTAATTATTGCTGCACCGCCTCTCATATGTCTATTTCTGTTTAGCCTAATGGTTGACTGGGAGAGAATGCCCTATGGCATTAAGTCGGCCATATTTACGACCTTGTGCATGAAAGATTAAATAAATAAATTCGGACTGGAGTACATTAGAGTATTATTATTGTTATAATTGAATACGATCGAATTAAATATGAATATATTACAGTTTCAGACAATAGTGCAAATCAATCATGCAGACGACGTGAAGCCGGATGTCCTACAATACTTGGATTTGGACTTGCATACATCGAAACCCGCGCCGGCAAAGGTGAATAAACTTAGTTATACTACTAGTTTTCTATACTGGAATCGATAAATAATAAATGACGTGAGCACGTCCACCTCTCGAGACTTGGAAAAAACCTTGAGATGTTCAGAATGCCTGACCTTCCTCATTTTACTCAAGAATTTATGCGGAGTTGATTATTCCAGATGCAGAATAAACGAAACTGCAATTCGTCTGGGCGTGATCTGCAGTGCGATCGTTCGATCGATTCGATCGTTGTTTAAGTGTATCAGTTCCGATTGTTAGCGGAAGTATTTTAGCCGACTTAAAGAAAAGGAGGAGTTTTAATTGAACTGTGTGTGTTTTTTGTTTCTATCACCAGCCGGATGCTCGTGTTATTCTGGTTGTAATCGTGGTTGTCTTCGTTTATTTCTTTGAATTATGTAATTTTGTTTACTATTATAAGCTAGTGCTTGACTGCTATCCCACCTGATGGTAAGTGATAACGTGGTAGATGGTTACACGCATTGACTTTACAACTACAACTTGACAAACCTATTCATTCTTGCCTTGAAGACACCCACATAATCGGTTGAAAAGACAGGTGCTGGCAAATTATTCCATTCTTTTGATGTATGCGTTATGAACGACAAAGCAAACCTAGGAAAAAGAAATTCAATTGAGTACAATAATAGCCTAAATATGTCTTTAGCGTTAAAGGATGGATATACGCTGGTTGATTAATGTAGAAGATTTTATTTTATGTTATAATATGTTTTTATTGCAAAGGTATAATACAGTTGCGGAGAAATTCCCGCCGGCAGACGATTCCCACAATATTTTTAAATATACAAATCACCTGATAACTGATAACATGTCTACTGCCCATGAACACCTTCAAACAAAGATGGCCTTAGATGCATTGTTACGTCTGACGATGAAAAGATCGAATGCCTCACAGAAACAGAAACTTTTTTATTCAATATACATTATAAATAATACTTATTGAAAGTCACTCTATTGTTTAATTTACTACTGGTTCGGATAAAGCCTTACATACGTGATTATACTGGCTTTCCTCTTAACCTCTAGATCGGAAGTGAGCAGTGCATGCACTGCTCTTTGGCGGCAGAAATAGGTAAGCGTGTATCGTTCATCGATCGAAGAAAACTAATTTACTAGGCCTCCACTAGATGGAGTTACGGCCAGTGCTTAAAATCGTGCTTTGTGGCATTCTTTGCCTATGTTTAGCAGTGGATTTGTAAAGGTCTGTAATCATGATAATGATGATTTTAATTATGATAGTTAAAGTAAACTGGGATTTTTTATTTCAGCAGCAAGACGTGCCGCGTAAAACTATTGATGTCGTACACGGGAAATCTCTGTCCGCTGTTGACGCAGGCTCCGCGTACAAAACGGTCGATTTCCTAAAAACAGAAGCCTTCAATATCACCCGACAGGACGCAGAAGCGTCGAGAAGTAGCCACCATTAAAGATGACGTTGTGGATATCCAAGTATGCTTATGTTATGTATATGCTAAAAGGAAGCTCTCTTTGTTATGATCCTATTTTGTAATGATTGTACTTCATATACTTTAAGAACAGTTAGCTGCGTATTTGGAGGTATGGACGTTGATTAAATGTAATTTATATAAAGAATACCTTTGTAACGTGTGAAAGAATTATGTGACTTAATACATTTCCTTGTCGTGTGTTAACGCCTTTATAAATTTGTCGTAAATGTCATATAGTAAATGTCATAATGAATTTTATCTCTCTTTGTACTTCTATTTAATGTTATACTGGTATGTGATGTTGCATATAATATACATATTTTAACGTTTGACAAGTTTCATTAATTGATTCATTTTAATATTCGCATTTAAATCAGTATTCTTGCACCAGTATTATTTAAAGTCGCTGCTGTCAATCAATTAACCTTTCCCTTAATTTGATATATGATTTCCAATGTAAAAATATATAATTTTTAAATAGGAAACTATATATTATATATATTTAAAACTAGGTTTGGGAAATACATATTATGTACATTTAAAACAAGGTTCTTAACGTTTGGACTGGAACCAGAATGTGTGATTTAAAATTATGAAATTTGAGTTGATATCCAATAAAATTTATATAAAATACAATATTTATTGACTAGTACTTCACCGGAGATGACAAGGTTGCAAATAGAAAAGAAAATTTTAAAATTTATACTGCATTAAATTTTATCAATTTATGTCACATATTATGTTATTATAATTAACTAATTATGTAAGTAGTTTTAGGGGTACATTAATAAAAATAAAAGCTTGATACCGGGACAAATAGCGAGCGCAATCCTAGCATCAAGATTTCTACTTTAGTTTGTTTATATTAGTCTAATGGGACAATAGGCCGGCCATATAGCTCGAATACAGACAATCGATGGGGAAAATAGGTTCTCGAGTGCCTGCCTCGTATCGGCGGACGAAGTGTAGGGCGTCCCCCCACTCGATAAAGTGACGACCTGGTAAGACATGCAGGTGGCTTAGGACCGTGTTTTGTGTGTGTCTTTTTGGGGGGGAGGCCTATGTTCAGCAGTGGACTTGAGAAGGGCTGTAATGATGATGATGAATGGAACATATTGTTATTCAAGCCTAGTGTTCTGTTATATCGTATTTAAGAATTGTTAGGCGATGAGGCCCTTGGTGTGAAATAAAGGGTCGTATTGAGGTCTACTTTATGATATCTTGCTCGCACTTGTGTTCTCCTATAGAAACTATTCCGGTGGTTTGATTGCTATTTCTAATATTGTATAAATATAGACTAGTATATGTGTTTATATATGAAGTAGGAAAACAATTATAACAGATAAATATGTAGACATGTACTATAATAACAAGGTTTCTATCTTGTATCATAATATACAAGACACGCTGTGCGTCCTACCTTCAAATACCGCAGCCGATTCTTTAATAAGATTTGAACACGCACAATATTTACATTAGCGCTACTGTAGCAAAATGCAGTATATTTGTGCCTTTTTAGTATTAATAAAAATTTAAAAAACGTATATAACTACGTTAAGTCCTAACAGTGCATTTGATTCATGATCAGTGGACCACGAATTTGTCTAGAAATAATTTGTATGTTGAACGACAGTGGTGTCTTTTTGCATTTAATTATTGAAGGAGTATTTACTTCAAACGTATCTAGTAAATTTAACATTTGTCATTGTTGAAGCCGAAAGTCCTCCTTTACATTATATTTTAAATCTAGTGTTTGTTTTTCTTTTTATTACCTTTTATTTTACTTGCTTTTTTCGTATGTCATTCTGGTTCAAATTTTGTATTCAATTTTTAAAGCACTTGCTGACATGCAATAGAACTGAAATTTGGCATACATATGTAACTTGGATGACAATGCAATTTTTTTTTATAAGAGCGGGGCAAACGAGCATACGGCTCACCTGATGGTAAGTGACTACCGCTGCACACATGTACAACTGCAACACCAAGGAAATTACAGGTACGTTGCCGGCCTTTTAAAAAGGAGTAAGCTCTTTTCTTGAAGTACCCTAAGTCGTATTGGTCCGGATAAATCGCCGGTGATAAGCTATTCCACAGAGAGGTCGTACGCGGAAGAAAACTTCTCGTAAAACGTACAGTGGTGGACCGCCAAGCATCCAGATGGTATGTGGATGGTTTCGGGAGTATTTCCGCGATGTGCGTTCGTGAAATTTGGCGGCTGGGATTAATCCGAATAATTACTCAGAGCACTCCCCGTGGGGTCGAACCTGTGCCTTGTAAAGTTGCAGACGTTGTGCCGGCATGAAAAACTGCCCCGCTCTGCTGAGCACGCCAAGCTTTTATGGTAATTATGGTACCATAAAGCTGAACTGGTGAGGGACCCGGATGCTGGTCTTAGCAACGGCTTTAAAGCTTGTTTTAAGAAGTTTTTAACATTTTTTTAAACATTTTATTTAGTTTTATCTATTGCCAGAAAAAAGTATGAAATAATACACTAAACATCCCACACATATAGGTAAGCGGATTTAAAGCGTCCTAGAAATTTATGTAGTTTGTTAGATATGATTAATATTATTATTTACATATTTATCTTAACCTCTGCTCTCTCCATACCCACAAAATTATTTCTAGTTTTATATCTGAGAGCCGTAAATGTCAATATCTAAAATATAACTTTTGTTATTGATTTTAAGCCGATAAAGATTTAAGTACTTATATATTTTAGCTTTAATTTCATCTTAGTCACGATTTCATCTAAATACAATTTTGTTTTAATTTTTTGAGCTATTTATAGTGTGGCTGACGAAATAATGTGTACTGTGCGAAACTTGGACAAATCAACATCAAAAGTAGCACTGTTATTATTATATATATATTTTATATATACAATTACATTTTTATAAGTTTCACTACTTGTTTGCCTGGCGTGTTGTAAATGAAATAAAGTAGAAATAGTAAATATACGATGAAATTAGAAATAATCTAAGTGCTCTCAAAATTATTTAAATATAATGAATATTTCCCAGTAACAATTTATTATTGTAAAATAAAAAAACACAATAAGAATCGCTTGAATGAATATAGCATATTGTTAGTATTTATTAGTATATAGAATAAGGAAGACAACTGCAACACATTGAGAATTGCAGGTGCGTTGCCGGTCTTTTAAAAAAGGAGGAAGCTAAGCTCGTTTCTTGAAGGATCATCGGTCCGGAAATATGAAAATTGGTAAACGATTCCACAAAGAAGATTATCTAGATTATTAGATTATTAACGACGGGTCCAAAAAGAAGACTTCTGGGTTTCCGGTTCTTTATAATCATCATATGAAACACAGCAGAATTATTACGGTGTTTTACATTGGTATTCTGTGAGAGCGTAGTCCTACCCGGGTCCAGCCGATTCATTCGTGCTGCAGCTATCTAAAGCAGCAGCGTGGCTTTACTACGCAAAATATGGTAGAATGACCTAAAAGAACAGGGTAGAGGAATGACTGGCGGAATGACCAAAATGTACAGTGCTATCGACGAAAGAAAAGGCCCTGTCCCCGTCCGTACGAGAGTCAAAATTTTCATAATGTGCAAATCAACCGTAGTTACTTGTAATATACACTGTTATAATCTTCACTTATTTTAAATAATATTCAATTAACACGTCACAAGAATTACGTTATCATATCATATTCTTTAATAAGACTGATGTTTGTACTTGAGCTGTCGTCTCCGCCTACATGTAAAATAATATTGTCAATTGCAATATCCATTATTATGTCATGATCAAAGTCTTTGAAAAAGCTTATACTTTCGATGACCTTCGCACAGTCGTTTTTGGCGACTGCCACTTTTGCCACAAAGATAAGGCATTGCTCGCACTGAAGTTTAAATAAGCATTGTGTAAAAAGCGCTCGGCTTTTATTTAACTCGCAATCTATGTTTGTTAGGGTCAAATCTTGCAACTGAATTTTAAAGCAGTTATCTTCAACTGATTGAGCTGACATTTTGCATACATGTTTATTTAGGATGACAATGCATGACGTCATTCTAAATCCATTATGGCGGACCGCCCTAGATGGTAGACTAGTTATTTTTTATATACTCCCATGATATGAGCATTAAATGAAAGGGTTTGCTGAGAAGAATACGAAAAATAAAATGACATCACTCTAAATCCATTATGGCGGACGGCTCAAGATGGTGGTCTAATTATTTTTTATGGACTTCTATGATATGGGTATCAAATGCAAAGGTTTGCTGAGAAGAATACGAAAATAAAATGACATCAATCTTAATCCAAAATGGTGGATACCCAAAGATAACGGATTATGTTTTTTTTATGCACCTCCATGATAAGAATATCAAATGAAAGGATTCGCTGAGAAGAATACGAATAAAGAGACGTATGCGTTCAGCTCTTTGAGGAGATTTTGTGCTACTACCCGACTAAACGGTAAGACTTAGCGGGGACGCATCTTAATTAATATCTGCCTACGCCCTTTCAAATTCTTAAGGTGGTGTAAAAAATCAAAATGGTGGAAAACAAGATGGCCGACATACCCTTAAAGAGTTATAACTCGGCAAAGGTCTGGGGTAGTTTGATGGTGCTCGAACAAATGTAGGGACCGACAAGGGTCAACTGCTGGCGATAAAAAAATCAAAATGGATCTGAGATCCATAAGATCAAAAACCAACAATGACGTATTAAATTAAATTACCAGACTTAAAAACATGTCCAGCAATAACAAAAAATTAAAAAATATATTAATAGTATAAAAAAAAAAACAAGGTTTTATATCATATAAATTGTATAACGTAATAAATTTGTGGGTTTGATTAAATTTAAAGTTTATTTTCTTCTTTTTAGAGCATTTCAATAAAAGCTTGTGTTTAAAAGTATTTCTTTTTACTATTAATATTTTGATAAAAATACAAACCGTTTATTTTTTAATTGCCTAGTCTCTACATATAAAATCAATTGCTTGT